ACTTCTGCAAGATCCTATCTTCAACAATCTACAAATATTTCAAGGTTATCTAACGGTTTGACAATCGCCACTGAATACATTCCAAACACCCCTACTGCTACCGTCGGTATTTACGTAGATGCAGGATCAAGAGCTGAAAATACTAAGAATAATGGTACTGCCCATTTCTTAGAACATCTGGCCTTCAAAGGTACTGAAAAAAGATCGCAAAAGAAAATTGAATTAGACATAGAAAATATTGGTTCACATTTAAATGCTTACACTTCAAGAGAAAATACAGTCTACTATGCCAAGACTTTAAAGGAAAATGTTCCACAGGCAATCGATATCCTTTCTGATATATTGACGAAATCTACTTTGGACAAGTCGGCAATTGAAAGAGAAAGAGATGTCATCATTAGAGAAAGTGAAGAAGTTGATAAAATGTACGATGAAGTCGTCTTCGATCATTTACATGAAATTGCATATTCCGACCAATCCCTAGGGAGAACTATTTTGGGTCCAATTAAAAATATTAAATCGATCACTAGAGATGATTTGAAAAATTATATTACTCAAAATTATAAAGGTGATAGAATGGTTTTGGCTTCAGCTGGTGATATCGACCATAATGAAATTGTCAAATACGCTGAAAAATATTTCGGTCACTTGCCAAGTTCTCATCTACAAAATATTGACACTGGTTTGAAAAGATCAAATGAAAATTTTCCAATTTTCCATAGAGGTGAAAGGTTTTTGAAAAATTTAACCTTACAAACCACACACATTGCAATTGCTTTGGAAGGTGTCTCTTGGTCATCTCCAGATTATTTTATTGCATTGGCTACCCAAGCCATAGTAGGAAACTGGGATAGATCCTTGGGAGCGGGTACAAATTCCCCATCCCCATTGGCAGTAGGCGCCAGCGGTATGGCTAATAATTCTCAACCATTGGCCAACTCATACATGTCATTCTCTACTTCTTATGCTGATTCAGGGTTGTGGGGTATGTACATTGTTACTGATTCCAAAGAGCACAACCCTAAATTAATAATTGACCAAGTATTAAATGAATGGAAAAGAATAAAATTAGGTAACTTCACAGATTCTGAAGTTAGTAGAGCTAAATCTCAATTAAAGGCAGCATTGCTATTATCTCTTGATGGTTCAACTCCAATTGTAGAGGATATTGGTAGACAGATTATTACAACAGGTAAGAGATTATCACCAGAAGAAGTGTTTGAAAAAGTGGATAAGATTACAAAAGAAGACATCAAAATATGGGCAAACTATAGATTAAATGATAAGCCTATCTCTATTGTTGCATTAGGTAATGTTGAAAATGTTCCAACATTATCATACATTGAACAAAATTTACAAAACTAGATTGATAGAAATATCGTTCTAAACTCATTCATTGACTCACTAATATTTCAAGACATGTATATACATATGCAAATAGTATTCTTTATATTTGTTTTATTTCAATAAATAAAATAAGAAAATAATAAAATAAGTTAAAATTCATAATTACAAGTATAAATCATTGATATAATCTTACATAATGGTACAAAAAGTGCATTTGGTTTTTTTTATTTAATAAGAAACACTAACATTAAAAAAATTATATTACATGAATAAATTACTACAACAGGTTTCTAATATAGAAGGATATAAGAAAAGTTACAACAAAATAAAATAAAGGGTACCATTTTAGTGAATAGCACCTCTTTCATTGATGAGGAATCGATCGATTTTGACAATTGCACTGCAACAAAATAAACACAAACAGTATAAAGGATTATTGGATTTAGAATATAAAGATAAATCAATTATCTTTCTTCTTATCCTTCTTCTTCTTTTTCTTTTTCTTTTCAGAGGAACTTCCATCTTCACGAGATCTCTTTTCGGAGTGGCCATTTGTATGTTGTAAGCTTACTGGGATGCCTACTGGAGCATGAGTTGGTGGTACAACTGAACTTGGCAAAGTACCATTTTTCTTAGCTTCTAGGTATTTTTGTTTTTCCCTTTGATAATTTTCTAATTCTATATGATAAGCTTGCTTCCATTTTTCCTTTTCAGAATCACTCAATTCTTTCCATTTTTTAGAGATTTCTTGAGTAATTTCTGTTGAGGACAATGGAGCCAAACCACTTCTCTCTCTTTCTTGACGTAATTCTTGTCTGATGTAGGCAGAATAAGCGAAGAAGACAGTCAATGGTTTCTTTGGAGCGTTTGGATCACGTTCAATCTTTCTCTTTGCAGGCTTTGCATTGGCAGTTGTAGATTGGTTTGCATCTGATTTATTAGCCTTTGCAGAGGTGGCACTAGAGGAAGAGTTTGAACCTAGCAAGTCTTTTTCATAATCGATCGGGTTTAGCAAATCGGTTGTGATTGAATGCAGACTATTTGTTGAAGAGGTTAATTTTTGTAAAGATTCTGTCAAAGTGGTGAAAGCTTCAATTTTTTCCTCTTCGTCTTCACCAATGGCATTATAGAAATCTATGATATTAGCAGCAGTAGTGCTAGCACATTTTCCTAATTCGAATAAGGAAGCTACTAACTGAGAACAAAATTTAGAATCGAAGAGAATATCATGTTAGTCAAAGATGTCAAAAACAAAAAAATAAAATAAAATAAAAGTAATGGTATTAAAGTGGGTTTAACATACTGAGTCCTTGGCTGACTTTAGCTTAATGGAAGGGTCTGAGCTCATCTCTTTCTCTGATTGAAATAGCAATATCAGAAATAGAAGGGAAAGAGGGGAGTATCACGTGAATACTCTTTTAACCAAAATATCAATAACGTAAAAGGAGTCCCTCCAGATTTTTGATTATTTGGTTGGTAGTTGATGCAAATAGCAACGTTAATTGCAGGTGGGGGGAGTTGTATACCTGTGATTAACAAAACCTTCTTTGAAAGGGAAGATGTATTAGCTCTATCTGATTAGAAGGATAGAACGGGATAATCTTGATTTGGTTAGTATCGGCCAGTCTGGTGTAGTCTATAATGGATTATAGAGAGGTTTGGATAGAAAGAGAATAGACAGAACGTATCTAGAAAGAAACAAAGATTCTGGAATAAGATGAAGGGAAAAAGCCAACTAGGATTAGAGAGGAAAAGATATATATAACACAGTATAATTAAAAATCTTTTTTTACAAAGGGAAAAGGAAAGGAAAGTTGACTAAAGAGAAATGATTTCTGTCTAGCGTAGACAGAGGTTTATATTTAAATCAATTGGAAGTTCCTTCTACCGGCGAAGATTTTTATTTTCGCTAGAAGGAGAGCGGTTTTGGCTTGGTTTGTTTGTTTTTCTTGTTTTCCACCACGGTGTCGTCCCAGTGGGGAGCGAGTTAGGCAGCGGGAAGGGGGGGGGGGGAGGAAAGAGAGAGAAAGAGCATGGGCTGGACTGGACTTGGATGCGGTCTCTGTACAGTGATCGGTGTGTCAATGTGTGGTGTAGAGGTGTGGCGTGTTTAGTTTGTAATAGTGGCTACGTTGGTTTATGTAGATATGTAATTGTGTATTGTGCGGTGTAGAGGTGTACGTTTCTGTTTGTTGTTGTGGTTAATTTCCTGTTCTGGACATGTGTCTATGCGCAATGTATTTCTCAATACGGTAATCTCTCTCTTGTCCGCAGAATTGGAGTGTACTGTATTATTGTATTAAACACAGGAATGCATATGCATATGTAGATATAAATCAGGGTAACCCAAAGCTATTTTGGAAATAGAATCATACTAAACTTTATTCGAGCACGTGATAAGAACTCATCCTCTTTCACTTTATTTCTATCTCCGTCTTGACCTCGTATCTCTCTGTCTCCTCTTCCTATTACTCTTCCTGTTCCCCTTCTCCTCGTTCCGTCTCCCACTTCCCGTTCCATCCAAATTTTCGAAACAAACAAACTGGCAGACCTTGTCTGTCCCTCCGGTCGATCGATCTATCTTTCTAGCTTTCTATCGATCCCAGCCTAAAGTGACAATACCATACAATAGAAATACACAAGTTGAAAAAAGTATCAGTTTCGAATTACGTATCGATACAAAGGATGGCTACTATAATTTGCCTTTAACCGATTCTATCTGGCTCTCTTATACCTTATACCGCTGCTGCATATTTAGGTACCGGTGTCCGTTTTGAGGTATTGTCTACTAGGAGTAGTAAACTAATTGAAAGGTTTGATACATTCATTCATCGACCGACTCGATTATTGTTATCCAGTCTAACACCTTTACTAATACTAATTATTGTGATATATATAGCATACTTACTTCCTTACATATATATATATATATATATATATATATTTGATTTATAGATATACACACAGACGCAGTCTCTTTCTGACACTTTTGAAGGTTTCATAAGGCTCAAATTATTTGGATTTCAGTTTAAATTGATAGCATCGATTTATTCACTTATTTCAATCCCTTCCATCTCATCTTCAACTGTACACTCTTTGGGAATCAACGCCTATATATACAGATAGATACACATTTTACTGGTGTTCGATAATGGTGGAGGAGTATCAATTGTTAAAACATAAAGCTGCCGGTCATGATGGTACTCTAACAGATGCAGACGGTCTGCTGGTCTTTAAATTGACTAATGATAAGGAAATTGAGTTTTATAGGTCTATTCAAGAGGATCATTTTAAAAAAAATTACATAGATGATGAGGATGATGAGGATAAGGATGAGGATGACAATAATGAAATTGAGATGACTTTAGCATCGTGGATGCCCTCTTTTGTTGGCATTTTGGAAGAGGGCATCAATAAGAAAAACGTTGATGGTATTGTAAATGCAAAAGATTTTGCAAAATTTAAATTAAACAATTTGGATTTGGAAAATAATAATGCTAATGATGATAATAATAGCAATAGCAATGGCAAAAAATATATAGTTTTAGAAAATTTACTAAAAGGCTTCAATAAACCAAACATTATGGATATTAAGTTGGGTAAGATTTTATATGATGATGATGCCACTGAAGAGAAAAGGAAAAGATTACAAGAGGTAAGTGATAACACTACTTCAGGCTCATTGGGTTTCAGAATATGTGGTATGAAAGTACAATCAAACTCTAGAATTAAATCTTCGCTGGACCCAAATCATTTTGAAGTTGAAGATGATGGTGATTATATTTTTGTTAATAAACTGTTTGGAAGAACCAGATCGAATTCAAATATCTCAATTGCAATAGATGATTTCTTGAATAATGACCAATTATCGACTGAAAGGATATCTCTTATAAAGGAAAATTTTTGGATAAGATTGCAAATACTATACAATTTATTACTCGACCAAGAAATAAGAATGATCTCAAGCAGTTTACTATTCATATATGAAGGTGACCCAAATAGATGGGATGAACTCAAGGATGAGGATCAAATAATAAGGAACTACTTCATAGATTATGATGATGAGGATGATGATGATTATGATGATGACGACAATGATAATGAAAAACTTGCTGCTCCTTTAAGCTCTATGTCTCTAATAGATTTTGCACACTCAAGATTTGTACCGGGTGAAAGCTATGATGAAAATGTTGTATCTGGTGTCGAAAACCTTCTGTCAATCTTTGAAAATTTAAAATCTGAACATAAAAAATAAAACTAACTAGGCATTTCATTTGCTATATCTATATATTAAACCTCTAAAGGATTTGGGCTCATATAAAAATTGATAAAATAACTAATAATAGAGAAGAGAAGTTATAGGAAAACATCATGATTATTTTTTTTTATGATATATTAAAAGATAATTATCTTTATTGTCTTTATTGTCTTTATTGTCTTTATTGTCTTCCAGTACAATTTTTCTTTACAAGATAGCTGGTTTTTCATTGTTCTTGAAAACGGTTATCTTGAGTATACCTTGTCTATAAGTTGCGCTGATATTGCTAGTGTCAATTTGATTAACTGTGCTTAATTTAATTGTTTTCTCAAAATCGTTTATATTTGCTTCTTTAACAATTGTGTTTTCCTCATCTAAGGAATATTCAGGATCACATTTGGCTTTTATTCTTAACGATTTGGTTGAAGTCAAATAATCTACACAGAATTTATCAGAAATTATTCCAGGTGCAACTAAATGGATTACAAATTTGTCACAATATTCATAAATGTTGGTGAAGGGTTCGACATTGACAATGGCATTCTCACCTTCATCAACTAAGTCGTCCTTGACAATTGTTGTTTCAACTTCCTCTCCAAAAGAAATATCTTGTGAATCACTAAAAGAATCTTTGGTTTCAGATTGTTTATAAGAATTGCCTTGATTGTCTCGATTGTTATAAACAAAATGCTTGATTTGAAGCTTTGGTCTTATCTTAAAAGAGTGTGATCTTGATGAGGTAACATATCTGTGTCTAGACAAAAGCAATAATTGTAGATATTCATCATATAGAGGAAAAGCTTGGTTATTAATTTGGTTTCTAGACAGGTTGTTGTAAGAAACCCCCATATCGACTAAGTAAAAAGGTGGAATTTCTTGATAAAACATAGGTATGAGTGTATTTTTTTAAAACTGTATTAGAGATTTGATAATACGATTGATATTGTATCGTATTCTAGTTACTAAAGAAAATATATAAGAGTTGAAAATAATGATCTAATCTATTTTGAATCAGAATTTTATCTGTACTATTTATACTTATGAACAGTTCAAGAATACCAGTATGGTATTAGTCAGCACAGTTGCTAGTCCATTTACTGACGCCACCTTACTAATACGAAAATTGAGCCAAAGCAATGCCTGGAAGTTGTATCAAAGTATATGATAAGTTAATTCCGGCATATACAATACTGATTTCATTTCTCTTAAGGGAGTTATCCGACTAAGGTTATGTCTAGAAGTTTCCAAAAATTTCTATTGATTTTAGAGGGAATTATTTATTCAGTCACTGTTTGACAAAAGGAGAAGACATGAAAGGTTTAAGTGTGGTTAATTGATATTCAATCTTTTTAAATATATGATTTAGAAATAGATATTTGTTGGGAATCCATACGTGTAACTGTATTTTTATCCATTGGTTAAAGTAGTCGATATTTTATTTTCTAAAGGCAGGCGTTTTATATCTAAGTTCAAATGATGAACCTAGATTTTAGAAACTATACATTAACTATACACTATACATTTTTCAAAGGTAAATGAGAAACATTTTGGTTTTGATAACCTCATAAAGTTCCGATACTGAGTATATCAATAATTAATGTATTTAAACCCTGGTGGATTCTCATTATTATCGTAAGGCAGGTTTGTTTGTTTTTTGTAACTATAAGAACAACAATTACGCACTATAGATCTAACCATTCCAATCTTTAATCATGATTTGTTTATCTCTCTGAACAAGATATTTGATCTTGATATATGTATTGTTTGATTCTGGTTCTTTTAAATAGGGTATTAAGTATTATTGAAAGGGATAAGAGCCGTAGATATGAATACTTATGATTACTAATTATAAGCTCCGTGACGTTATCAAACTGTTATAATAGCCATAAAGTAGTATTAAATGAATAACTATATCGCTGTTCTTTTCTTTGATTGCAAGAAGTCCGTACCCTATACTTTAAGTAGGTCGTATTAGCAATTGGTTGACGTCGTTATAATTAAACTGTTGTAACCTAAAATATATGGTTTACACTAATGGGTTTCAAGGTTATGGCATTAAAGGTTATGGCATTAAAGGTTATGGCAGTAACGGTTATGGCAGTAAAGGTTATGACAGTAAAGGTTATGACAGTAAAGGTTATGACAAATTGCAATTGATCGATCACAAATGGCATACTCGACCTTCTAAGTAATTGCCAAATCATATCATAAGAAGTGAAGTGCAAAGGCATCATAATTTATTATCATAAATAAATAATATTAAGAATATGAGATTGGATCTAAACATATAAAAAGGCATGACATTTTGGTACATCTAAAATATTGTTTATCTAAAATATTAATATATATTTATTTAGTTACAATTTATAAGACACTACGGAGAAATAAATATAAATATTATATTAAAAACATCTTGTATCAATCACCAAAATGAATCAATCAGATATTACTTTTACATCTGAACATAAACAGACATGTTAAAACCCACCTGTCTTAACTTGTCACTTTGTGTATTAATTGGCCTTTAATTATTATTTAATTGTATATTGAATTTGGTATACGTTAGAATGAAGGCTGGTAAGCGTTTATTCTATAGGATCTTAAGGGTTGAGATCTGTAAGTTAAAGTAAATATACTAGTTAATATTAATAAAGTTCTATATATCTTTTATGTACAAAGTAAGATACTAAATAATATACAATAATATACAATAATATACAATGATCTCTTTAAATATCAATGTTAATAGCATGTAACAACATTCTTGTAGTGACACATATTTCTTCACCTTCAAGGTTCGTATGAAGTAACCTCGAAGTAGTCTCGAAATAATACATTTGTACAAAAAGAAAAGTCCAGTGTAATACTCTCTTTACCCCATTTTTGAACACAAAATTTTGATAATCAGTGGTCCTATAGTGTAGTGGTTATCACTTTCGGTTTTGATCCGGACAACCCCGGTTCGAATCCGGGTAGGACCTGTTTTTTTAATTCCTACTTTTGTCACTTCTCCTATTCCCTTACCCTGAAATGGCCGATTTTATTTTTTTCTTTTTCAAGCAACCAGTCAATCACACTGCACGACAAAACAAGCACGACTCCTGACAAACCCACTAGTCAACTTTAGGGGCGACAGCAACAAGAAAATCTGATCTTAGGCAACAGCACAACGTCATACATACATACATACATACATACATACATACATACATACATACATACATACATACATACATACATACATATACAAATAAAACAAGAACATATAATTTTATCGGTTATTACAAACCAAATATACTAACCTACTCACTCAAGTACACCAGTCCCTCCCTCCTCCCCATACTATTTAATCTTAACAACCTAATCTAATACTTAAAATAGGGGGAATCAAACTATCAAATGCGCTTCAGTTCATTAAACCAAGTCCCAGAACCTCACTACTATCGTTAAGCATATTCAGAAGACATAACATTAACATATTCTTATTACTAATCCCAAATAACAACTGCAACTGCAACTTCAACTCCAACGTAGCAATTATCCACCTCATTCCCAGAATTGGTTTCATTGCTTGCGATCTATGCATAAGCATCGTCATACAAGAAAGCAAACTAAGCCAAACTAAGCTAAGCCAAGCCAAGCCAAGAAAGTAAAATAGTTCAAATGAACAATTAAAAGCGATACATTGCAACGTTGCAAATGATTCTAGTCCTTGTCATCTATTCAAAGGACTGTCTTAAAGTCAAAAACCCTTTTATAGCTATCCTCCATTAACATCTCTCTTTTTATATCATTTGGTTTCGTCTCTTCTTGCATCACCAATAGCTTTCCATGCATGGCTTGCTTATAAATAAGAAACCTAGATGTTTGATATTCTTGACTTGAATGATACATGATAGTTGAGACTGTCTCTATTCTGTTTTGTTGTTGTCTCAAAGCTTTCTTTGTTTGTTTATCTTTTGCAATTTTTCAAATAAGAGAATAAAGGTTCAGATACGACAGAGAGTTTCCTATACGAGATTATATTCTGAATTAAAGGTCTGACTAAGAATATCTTATTTGAAAGTTTTAGTAAGATATATATAAAGTTTCATTTGAAGTTTTAAAGCACTTTTGGTTATAAAGATTAAGAGTATATTGGGATACTTACTGGTTGAGGAGAAGTTTTGATTTTGATTTTGAAATTAATAAATATTTCCTGGATATTTAATTAAGGTCTAACGTAAAAGTTAAAAAGTTAATTATAAAGAGTGTTATCAAATGGGTTTCTTTACCTGGCCATACCCTGCTGCTCCTGATAGGGGCTATTGGGGTGAAATAACTTCAACTATTGATTGGTGTGAGGAAAACTACGTTATAACTCCTTATATTGCAGAATGGTCAAATACAATTACAAATGCTGTTTTTGTTCTTACAGCATTGTATTCAACTTATAGTGCCTACCGTACTGGGTTGGAGTTGAGATTCGTATTGATCGGTATTGGTTTTGCACTGGTTGGTGTCGGTTCTTGGTTGTTTCATATGACTTTACAGTATCATTACCAATTATTGGATGAACTACCAATGCTATATGCTACTTGCATTCCAACCTGGAGTATGGTCTGCGAATTTACGAGATATATGTCTATTAAAAATAAAAAAGATTTGGATACCACAGTGCCAATTTCGATGAAAAGACAATGGTATGTGGGAATTGCAGTGACTTTGGTCGCAGTTATTTTAAGTTTGATTTATTTAATTACGAAAAATGTGGCAATCCATGAGACTGCTTATGGTATATTCACTGTTTTGGTCTTTTTGATATCAAATGTTATGACAAACGCTCAAATTAAGGATAAAAAAGCAAAGAAAAATCTATTCTCTTGTATGATATTAGGTGCCACAACTTTTGTTTTAGGTTTCTTATTTTGGAACTTAGATAATCAATTTTGCAATACTTGGATATTCCTAAGAAGAACCTACTTACATTTACCATTAGGTCTATTTTTTGAATTCCACGGCTGGTGGCATCTATTAACAGGTACAGGAGTCTATTATTATATCATTTACTTGCAATATCAAAGAATTATCATCTTGGATCAAGAAGATACCTTTATGTTGATTTGGAGATGGGGTATCATCCCTGAATTAGTAAGAAAGGGATCAAAAATTTCTACCTCCTATTCAACTGAACTTTTGGGTTCCGCTGTATCAAATCATGATTTAAAGAAAAACAATTAATTATACTTCAAGTTTAATATATTCTGTTATTCTTGATAAGAGAAATATTATTTTTTATTCACAACGAATGATCTTGTTAAGATATTTATATTTAACAACATGCTTGTTTTGATGACTACGTTATAATGCCTTCTTTATGATACCTTCTATATTTATATCTATATATTTATGTATATATGTGGATAGATTTTTCATGAATTGTACATTGTACAAATAATCGATATATTCAAGTACAAAAATTTAATATTTACTATGATGAAACCAAAATATGCTAAGTAAGAAATTATATGAGATAAAAAATGCTTTGTAGGAATACCTTAATATATATATGTATCAACATTATAGTTGCTTGGACATATATGGACCATCTAATTCGTATCCTAATTTAGCATAATAATTTCTGACACCAACCCCAGAAATGACAGAAATTTTCTCAGAACCATGTTCTTCACGGGAAATTCTTTCTGCTTCCTCCATTAACAATGTACCAAACCCTTGATGTTGAAATTTACGTGGATCTCTAGAATGCAATGGCACTACGGAACCGTAAACATGCAATTCTCTAACAATAGAAGTTCTTTGTGAAGTAAATTCCTTTCTATAAGTATATTTCTTTGAAGCTTTTCTCAATCTCAATAGACCAATTAAGATGTCCTTCTTTGGATCTTCATAGGCCAAAAATGTTTCCCAACCACCATTTGCATAATAATCTCTTCTGATCAATTCAACTTGATCGGGTTGGACTTTATGATGGACTTCCTGGATACCAACTTCTCTTGTACGAATATCACGAGAGGTTGTACCAAAATCTTTCATTCTTGCCAGTGCTAATTCTCTTAAGTTACCGTTGTCGACACCGGAAGTAACTAGTGGCATTGGAATATCTCTTTGAACACGGTAAATTCTTGTCCAAGGAGGAACCAAAGCCATGATTCTAGCGACTAAATCTACCAAAGCGTTTGCGTTGTAAGACTTATATCTTCCTGTCTTCCAAAGTTCATATAAACCTGTACCTCTAATGACCAAAGTAGGATAGATTTTCAAACCATCTGTTCTGAATTCAGGGTTTTCGAAATACTCTTTGAATTGCTCTATATCTCTTTCCATGCCAACATTTGGTAAATCAGGCATCATATGTGAGACGACTTTATAACCAGCATCTTTTGCAACTGCAAAAGTTTCACATACCGCTTTTACTGTATGACCTCTATTGGTGTCACGAGCGACATCTTCATAAATAGACTGGACACCGATTTCTAATCTTGTACAACCGTATTTCAACATATCATCAAGATGTGTCGGAGTACAATAATCAGGTCTAGTTTCGATTGTAATACCAACACATTTAGTTAAACTTTGTTGTGAGTACTGTATAACTTCATCTATATCTGTACCATTAAAACCTGATAAGGCGTTGTGTAATTTTACGATAAAATCTTCACGATAGTCCTTTGGCAAAGACATGAAAGTACCACCCATGACGATATATTCGACTTTATCGATGGAATGACCCAATTGTTTCAATTGTTCGATTCTACCACGGGCCTGCTCATAAGGATCGTAACGAGCTCTGATTGCACGCATTGACGTAGGCTCATAACCAGTATAAGATTGGGTAGAATATTCAAAATCCGAATCTGGACCACCAGGACAGTAAACACAAATGTTACCAGTATAAGCTATATGTGGACAACGATGAGGTTTACACATGACTGCTACAACCGCGATACCGGAAGCAGTTCTAACAGGTTTTGCCTTTAATTTTGGTAATAGGTATTTCTTGTACTGATCAGGGATAGCATTGATGATATCGGTCAATCTTGGTTGCTGTTTTAGTTTATATTTTTTCGAATATTTAGTAATTAAACCATTTAGATTAATTTCTCTAGTGGTACCTGCAGTCAAAGAATTAGTCAATTCTAAAGTTACATCGGTACAACACTGGATAAAACGTTCCTTCTCAGGAGCCAAATTCTGGCCTTTGTTATTTCTAGGACCTTTACCACCAGAACGACCCATTGTAAATAATAATTTCCTCTGTTATATAAGGATTAGTTTTCTTTTTGGCTAAAACTTAATCTGAATTCTGTAAAGTTATGACGATTAGAAGTTTGGCAAACAATACAGAGACCAAGAAAATAAAAGTCACAACTGTATAAATATATACTACAAGTGTTGTGAATATTAAATAGGATGCTGACAAACGGATAAAGACCCTTGATCTAAAGAAGTTAAATCCAACTGCGATGAGATGAGATGAGATGAGCTTTCATTTATTGAATAGCTTTCGATATTAAATTTCGAATTTCAATAAATTTTATTTCGAAATTTCAGGTTGTTTCTTTTTTTTCCTCTCTTGGTGCCATTTCGGAAAAGTGTTGTCGCATTTTGGCTAGCAGAGAAAACCCAGCACGATGGTGGAGGGGAACACAGAAAACAATACACTGTGCTAGCGCCGCTTCACTGCGCTGGATTATATTTGATCACATGTTTCTCTCGATGCACTTCACGTGATGACTGTCCTCTTTCTTACTCTCACACAAGTGTTTTAATGGTAGTACACTGGGGAGGGAGGGAGCAGGGAAACAAGGCAAAAATTAAATGCCCACATATCAGCAACTCCAGCTCCAACTCCAAGTTAGTTTCAAACAGGACATATTTGGCTAATAAGAGCCTGTCACCACCAAATGTATAGCCAGTGTCCTCTGAATACAGACAGAAAGACAGATACAGCTAAGTTGCGACCCAATGGTTCCTTCACACATCCATTCAGCTCGACGTCACAAACCATTCCATTCCAAACAACAAAACCCTAAACAGACACCTGCAAGAGCCCTGACACTAGAGACACGATGGAAACCCTATTGGCGTACATAATGATCCATCCAACACTCTCCTAATTCTTCTTTTTTGGACTTTTTACAGTAAAGACGGATTTCTGCTACAGCTCCATCTGAAGGATTTCCTAAACAAGAAACAACGAATCCCTGTTCCGACCACCTACTTCCACAGCAAAAATACAGAGACAGAGCCAGTATACCTAAGCCTTAGCCAGATGCTACTGAGTAAGTATACTCTTTTCATACCAAGGCCCAAAACGTCAACAACATCAACGATTTAAGCATCAACACAACAAACCTTCTTCAACAGATCTTGTTTCAATTGCGCAATTTCTCAATTTCTTAACTGGAACACCTGCTGCATCTGCATCTCTATCTCCTGCTGCTGTCCAACAAGATCTATCGCTTCTACTCTGATTCGGCCCAAGATCTAAATCTGAAAGCTCTTCGAAACCTCGTTCTTGAACGTATTTCTTTTCGAACCAACAAACAAACATCGTCGTGTTCTCTCTCCTAGGTCTGCTCAAATTCCATCAACCTACAACTTATAGGCAACACCTTCTTTTATGGTGGGAATTCAAGTACAATATTTTGGACAAACACTCACCTCTAACCTATCAGTCTCTTGATTTGAACTGGATTCGTGTAACTTTTTCACTTACACTTGACAATTAGAGGAACATTGAAGTTTTTAACCTCTCTCTCTCCCTGTGTGCGTTTTCGACTTTACCTAATCCATTCAAGTCGTATGGGGAACACTCAGACTTCATTGCTCTAATTTAGCTCAAAGTGATCACCTGTCAATTATTTCTATTCGTTAAAAGCCCAATAGTTCAGAACCATCTCTTCTGGCTTCCATCTCTCGAACTGTAGATAACTGGTGGAACCTATTGCTGGGAGGTCTTTCCGAATTGATTCTTTGGAGGTAAGTTTGCCAACTTGGGAAACTTTTGCTTAATAGATCAAATTGAATCTACCTTTCAGTTTTTACAGTAACTGCTGTCGTTGTTGGTTTTGTCGTCGTTGTTGAGTTTTCCTCTCTGGTCCATATATACTGGGTTTTCACTTTAAAAAACTTGGTCTCTCTTCCCCTGTCCTAACAGATTCAAAAAGTTTTGATCAATTGGAATATTACAAAAATATCTATCCATCTATCTATCTATCTATCTACAATTAGCTTCATTTTATTCGGTTTTTTTTACCAGTTTTTTGATCAAAGGATATTCGACAAGACTTTTCACCTATTTCATCTCTATTTCAAGAACTAATTACCGTTCAATTGCTGCCATCAGTCTCACTCCCCTCGTCCCTCCCTTTGCTTTAAATAATTTAATTATCAAAGGGTCTAAGCTTCACAAAATACAATTGGGATACATAAATATATATATATATATATATTTACCTGGGTATACATAATATTATCGTCGAACAATGGTACGAGACTCTAAAAAGAAAAAGAATTTAAGGAGGAAGGCTAAAAAGCAACAACAGAAAAATACAGGACATACCAACGATGAATCCCAATCTTCTGTGGACGCAGCTACTCAAGAACTCGTAGATTCTTCAGAAACACAAGATGTTGAAGACAACGAACAAAATACTTCTATAGTTGAGGAAAGTGTAACTAATGATAATACTACACCAACTATCCCTTCAAATACTGAAAACGATATCACAGAAGAAACTGTGACCATCGATGGACAATGCAATTCAAATGATAATGAAATACCTACTACAGCTGTTGACAATACGGAACTAGAAAATAATGATGATGATGGCGGCGACATTAATTCTCCTGAAGAAACCCACCAAGAAATATCAATATCAACAGATTCAAAACCATCCATTGCAATTACCAACCTCGAAAAAATTGAACATAATATCAACAAAGATCTTCCAATTGCAACAAACAATTCAGCTGACACAACTCCAGTCAGTCATAATACTGAATCAATCTTAGAAAATGATAAACAAACTAGCATTAATGATTTGGAAACTGTTGAGACTCTAGATGGAGGTGACTCAGAAGAAAGTAAGGCTATTAGATCCACGACGTTGATTTTAAATGAGGAGGACACCAATGAAACTACAGGTGTTACTGAAAGTGTAGAGAAAGGCACTGTCGACGTCTCATATCAGACAATAAATGAAGATAATAAGATTGATAGTCAGTCTACTTATTCCAATAATATAATATTGAACAACGACCCTTCTGAGATTGGTGAAAGCGTGTCTATGTCATTGCCAAATGATGTTAATTCCAATAATGTTAAATTAGATGACGATGCTGATATATATTCCAAAAAGGAAGTAGTTCAAGAAATAGAAACCTTTGAAATTAAAGAAAATGAAACTGAAGGTAAAATGAACGATTTCGATGAGATGTTTGGAACCACTAATGATCATGATACACCAGACTGGTTAAATGGCAATAATACAGTTGAATCAAGCAACGTTGCGTCAATTGAATCACCTAGTGTTAAAGAAAATGATATTAAGCAACAAGATCGTATCGATTTCGAAGATAGTATTACAACTAATCGTGAAAATGACAGCAATGAGAATAAAGGGGACGATTTCTTCTCTTCACTAAGGACAGCTGATCATCATTCTTTACAGAATCCATTCATTTCGGAGCAACAAGAGCCTGTTTCAACTATCGATAATATTACTAAAGTCGATAATGATATTGTTTCAGACACTGTGGCTACTGAGATACCTCCCAAAGTCAATGACAATATTTCTGACCCCGTTGAAGAACTATTTTCAAACACAAATAAAATTGAAAAGTTACCTTGGGAAACAGAATCTATGGAAGGAAATAATGAGGCTGAAGAAGCCAAATTTGACGATAACAATGAGGTTGTAAATACAGAAAATAAAAAGGAAAATAATGAGGTTTTAAATAAACAGAATAATTTTGATTTCTTGGATAATGATGATGATTTATTAGACGATTCAACGGAAGAGTCTGACAGTTATCTAGAAAATGATGATAATGAACAATCTAACTTTTTGGATTCAGCTATTAACGCTCCAATTCCTGAGCTTAGGAAGGAATTACCATCGAATTCGATTCTATTGGGAAAGAGTGAGAGCATGAAGTATAGTCCAACACAGTCACCTATTGCTAAAACTTCACCATTAGAAACAGAATCTCCTGGATTTCAACGCTCCAGGTATGAGCCAAGTTCAACACCGGTACAACTAATTAGTGATTCAATTCCAAAGTCGGTCAAAAAATCAAGTTCTAAGAGTGTGCAACCAAAAATATTCAGCACATCGAATGAATCAACTGGTATTTTGACACCTCAACTGTTAACAAATAACGGTCCTAAATTAAACTCTGCTAAAACTATTGATTCTAGTAAACAGATTGAAGTTGCACAATCACTTAAAAAGGAAAAACTAAAATCTGATGCTTATGATTTCCCAATTAGCATGGTTTTACAACCGGTTAAAAAAGAACATGCTAAACCGGTTGCAATTCCAAAATCCAATATTCCTGTAAATGACCTTCAAACACAATCGCCAGTTCCAACTTTACCAACTGCATCATCAATTATAAACAATACTAATATTAATATCCCAGTTAATCCCTACGCTTCGATACCAACACAATCAAAAACACCAGTTAATGCAATAGCCATTGATATGTACTCCCCTTCTACTGGGCCTACAAAATCCCCACTACCATCTAAGAATACTCAGCAAATACAGACGCCATATGATGCTAGTTCAAATACTGATAATTCATCTATTCCTGTTTCAACTGATAGATATGCTCCAATGTCGAACATAAGTTCAAAATCTCCACATCCGCCTGTGAGATCACGTAAAAGTAGTCCAGTAGCTCCTGTGAATAACTCATATATTTCCCCGTCTCTAATTCCAAACAAGTTAAATGGTAGTATCGATAACAAGATCAATGCTTCTCTAAAACCAATCCCCTTAGTTCAGCCTGCAAACGCAAATATTTCACCAAATGAAAACTACGGTATTCCTGCTCCATATCTAAAGAGTCCATCTTTGCCAGAACCACCTATATCTTTGGATAATGGAACTAAACTACGTAATCCATTACCAATCTCTCAAAGAAAGAAATCTTCTAGTCATGCCATAAAAGCAGATATGGCAGCTGTGTCATTACTTCAAACTTTAAGTAAAGAAGCACCTCCAATACCAATTGTTCCAAGAGATCCTTTAATCAAAAACGCAGAATCCGAAAAAATCACAGCAAATTCTAACTATATTTCAGGGCGTATTGATTCCTCGTTAGACATCCCTGTCACAAGCTATATGCCAAAATCTGAGATTATTGAATCATCTCTGAAGAAAGAAGACAGTAAAGAATCTAATCCAATAAATGATACTATAATTATTACTGAAAAAAGTGATAAATATAATGAATCAGAAACAGCTAAGTACAGCAAAGATACCATACCTGATGTTGCCATCAAGGAAGAGGAAAGCGAAGCTACAGAAGAAGAGCAACTTGCTATTCAAGAAAAATTTGAAGATGATAAAAGAGAAGTCGTATTATTAGAAGATAAGGTCCACAGTATTAATAAGGAGATCAAACCTCTCGATGGAGCTGATGAAAGTATTCAAACAGAAAGCCCAATAACAGATGATACATCGAATGGAGCGGTTGACGAAACAGAAACATCTCATGGCGTGAATGATATCTTTATTCAATTAGAAGAATCGCCATTGCCCTTCTGTTTTGGTGAAAATGTTATTGAATCTTACCCTGGTCCTCTAGATTCATTTAAGAAATCAAAAACTCAATTATCTTCATGGCTGAGTGTCGTTCTAGAAAATTTAACGACAACTTCAACTTTCTCAGTTTTAATATCACTCTTTAAAATTTGGATTGACTCGTCTAATGTAGTGCAAGATATAATTCATATTTTAAGTGATGAGAATAAACTACAGGAAGCGTTTGATAACATTGAACATAAGAAAACTATTAGTGAAAGTAAAAGAGATTCAAGAATTCTAGATACCAACGGTAAAGATAAAATTTTGAAACTACTTCTTCTAGGCAAAAAGAATGAAGCATTGGAATTTTCAATGGAAAATTCCGATTTTACAATGGCGTTATTGATTGCTAATACTATTGATGAGGCCTCAAGACATTCAGTAATTATGTCATATTTTGAAAATAAAATTAATCCAGTCAATACTGAGAAAAAGTCTATTAACATGTTATTGCTGGCCCTCTTCCAAGTATATTCGGGAGATGGGACACATTTATTGAATATAGCCAAAGAAAACCCTGAAACTAAAGATTGGTATGTCAAGAACTGGAACAGTATTGTTTTGATATTATTGAAAAATTGTGATATGAATGCTGGCAACATCTCTTCAAAACCTAACTCTCACCAAAAAGTCACTAGCTTTTTAGTCGGATTTTCAAATTTCCTAAGAAATACTGGAAATATACTTCCTTCATTCATTGTATGTTTGATTTCTGATATGTTAAACTCTGGTAGTGAAAATGGCATAGAAGTTGATATGTTAGATTCTGTTTTTGGAAAGCATACAGTATCATCGTCTATAATTTCAGAAATATACTCTCTCATCAAAATATCAAAGAACCAAAATTCAGATGAATTCCTACTTTATTCCTCGAGTTTGGAGTGTGCCCGCTTGTTTTTCGATATTGGGTATCACTCGAAGGCTTTGGAATATGTCAATTATTTTGTTTCAATTAAAGATAGACTAATTGCCAATGAAATATTTGTGGACACGAGTTTGGAACAACTGAAAGTTATCTCTGAACTAGTCAATCCAGGACATTCTGACGAATGGCAATTAAAGATTGATAAGGTTGAGGTTCATGATAAAGACAGTATTCCAAATATTGATAGTACGGTAAAAACCTCTATAATCAAAGAAGATAAAACTAGTGACAATTTTGTCACTAAAAAATCTCTAACTTCTATAGCGGAAGAGCCTAACAAATCAACTATTGATTATCAGTTTAGCAAAACTACTGATATCGATGTGGTCGATCCGTCACTTGAAGGTGTTGACGTAATCGACGTTCCAGATGAATTCGTCGTCAAAGATTTGTCCTTCACTACTACAGCTATTGACCTTAAACCTGTGGAAAACCAAGATTTGGATAGTTCAAGAGAAGTGGAATCTTCGTATAATGAGGATATTACTGTTCTTCATAGAGATATTCGGACTTTGGCCAATTCTGAACTAAATGCTCAAAGTTCAAATGATATACTATCAGAATTGGATTCTCCATATTCTCCTTACGCCCCTGTTCAATCTGGTAGAAAGACAATTGCAAATAAGAAGTTAAATTATATGCCTTATATGCCTACCAATACGATAATTGAATCGAGTAGACATTCTTCAGGAATGCTAGAGAACGAACCATATTCATCATCCGGTTTGTCTGTTTATTCAGATAGTACGATTGCTGCCACCTTACAGGATGATATTACAAAGAATGAGTTAGGTGAGATTGATGCAATGGCGACAGATCAAAAAGTCAATTCCTCAAAGAGCACTGGCAACAACGGCTTTCAATCAATGGATGAAATACCGGAATCTATGAAAAAGAGAATAAGTTCTATGAGAGATTCAGCCACTGCCACTGGGAAGTTATTTGATCCAGTAATTAAAATTTCATCATGGAATAGTAATGGGCCAAAAAAGTTACAATCCAATGAGCTTGATTCCAACAATTATGATGATATTGTAGAGGATGAGTCTGAAGATGAAGAGGAGCGGGAACTTCAAGAAAGAAAAAGAATGGAAGAGGAAATGGTAAGGAAGAAAGAAGAGCAAGAAATGAAAAAGAGAGAGGAGGAAGCCAAGAAGGAAAAAGAACTGGAAAGGGAAAGAGAAAAGAAATCTAAGGAGAAGCAAGATAAAGAGCAGTCAAAGCAAGGCGGTTGGTTCAAATGGTTGAAGAAAGATCCAAATGAAAAGAAACCAATCAAAGCAAAATTAGGTCATAAGACAACCTTTTACTATGATGAAAACTTGAAACGTTGGGTGAATAAAAATGCTACTGAAGAAGAAAACCAGAGACTTGATACACCACCTCCTCCTCCTCCAATTGTTAAGCGTAAAATTGTTGAACCTGAACCTCCATTAAATGTTCATATGTCACCATCATCATCTGTTAGAAGTCAGATGTCAATTCCAGCTGGTGGTATTCTTGAAACTCTATCTCCTGTTCCTCAAAAAATTAATGTAAGTAGTGGAATTCCATCAGGTCCTGCCAGTCCAGTTGCAGGAACTGTCCTACCACCAAACGTGACGTTATCTGGAAAGAAGGCAAGTGGATTAGATGATTTATTATCATTATCACAGAACCCTCCTGCTGGTGGTGCTAAGAAGAAGAAAAGGGGTGGAAGAGGGTATGTTAACGTTATGGACACTAATATTTAAACACATATATAAACAAGTATAACTGTATTTTTCAATATATATACAATTATACATATTCATTTTTGAACAAATCAGTAAATTAAACATGAAGATTAAATTATATCTATATACAAGTAGAATACTTAAATTTATAAAGAGTTTAGAACCATAAAACATTTAAGGAATTTGTGATCTGTAGATATCACCACATTCTCTCATTCTTGCAACAGCAGATTTATTGTCACTGTCATAATTTTTTGGTAATTTTGCATCTGGCTTACTTTCAAACACAGATCCGATTAATAAGACCTCATTAGTTGAAGCGTCACATAAAAACACAACAAAATCGGTTACATCTCTATCTACCTTTTCAACATCTTTTGAATCTTTATCAAGCTTTAATAAACGTTGTTTAGTGTTAAATCTATAAACCAATTGAATGTGTTCTAAAGGTTGGCCTGGTAAAATTAAAGGCTGTAAAGAAACCAATTTAGGGACTTCATTAAACTTCAACAATTTCCAATCTAATTTAATGTTCTTTGGGATTTTATTCTGTCTCTTCTTCAATGCATCTTCTGCCCAGATAGACAATTGAGAACTGACTTTTTCAATTTTTCTTTCAGCAAATGCTTTATTAATATTTACATAAGTTTCAATTGCATTATTTTTCCAAAGTAAAAATTTTGGCTTTATACCTGATTGATTTCTAAAGACAGCAATCTGTACTGTATTGAAACCCAAAGTGTATATCTTTCTAATCAATACATTGAAGAAAGATATTGGATGCAAAATCATATTTGGCATTCTTCTCCAAGTTGGAGGGATGTAGATATCACTGGCAACACCAATATGTCTAACATTGATATCCAATTGTTCATTTTTAGACTTCTTTTCTGATTTCTCACCACTCTGTAGCGCAATCCTAGAAGTAGACAACAAACATCTTTGACTTAAACTTGTCAAAGCAGGTTGAGTAGCAGCAAATTTAACAAACCTTGTTTGTAACATGATAGCAACGGAAATAACCTATGGGGAAGCCCTCTAAACACTAATCAGAACTGATAAGAACACTTTCGGGCACACTCACCTGATTCAAATCTTATTAACCTGGTGTATAGCCCAGTATAATTACTGTTTTAACCTTGGTCAAATAGAATCTTGTGAGCTTTGAAATAAATCCATTTTTATTGAATGTTAAAGATATCACCAAAATCACGTGATACCTTTAAAAAAATGATTAAGGCGAATTCTTTTGATGAAGTCCCTTTAAATATAAGAGAACTCTTTAAAAGAGGTATAGATTTAATGATACTTTTAGTCTAGATTGGTTTAACTACAGTGTAAATTGTGGTCACTTAAGAGGATATCTAACGTGTTGAAGGATTTTTGTTGATTTTGCTGGTAGTTAGGTATTTTTTGTTAGCAAAAAGTGGATATTATCTTTAAGAATTTGTTGCAAGATAATGAAACCGAGTTTCATTTCATTAAAGGAGAAAGATACAGAAAAGATCAAGTGGAGGAAAGGTCTTTCTAGTTATTTGCAGAGGGTTTATGGGTCTAGTTGGAGTCAATTTTACAATGAAAAGTTGGCAAAAGATTTCGATCACTTAAGAGACACTTCGAATAGTGATTTAGCTGCTGAATCCTTATTGGAACAAAACTGTAAGTATTATGCCTATTTGGAGCATTTATATCTTCGTAATGGAAATGCTAATATGAAGATAAATTCTAACTTTGTGTGGTATGAAGCTGGTTATAACACTGCATTGGGTTCTGAAAGTTTTACTCAGCATAGTATTATATTTGAAAAAGCGTGTACTCTGTTCAATATTGCAGTTTTATTAACTAAAGTAGCTGATGAGATTGTAAATGATGATTATAAAACCGCTGTTGCTGATCTTTCAAAGGCTGTAGGTTGCTTTGAATATATATCAGAGAATTTTTTGAATTCACCTTCTATCGATTTACAAGCTGATAATACAAAATTTCTAGCTTCATTATGCCATGCAGAAGCCCAAGAATTATTTTTATTGAAGTTGTTAAATGGTCCAGATCCAAAAAAACAGGCATCATTGATAAGTAAACTATCTATGGCTACCGCGAAACTTTATGAATCATGTCATAATCAAGTTAAAAATCCAGGATTAAAAGTAAAATCATACGGTTTACCATCATGGGCTACTGACATCAATTTTAAATACCATTTTTATGAGTCAGTAACAGCATACTATCATGCGATTGCATTGGAAAATCAACAAAAGTTTGGGGAAGCTATTGGGTTTGTGAATTTGGCCTACAACTGTGCAACATCAGCCATCCCATTTAGAGCCCATTTAAAGGACTCGTTTGATGTTGATACCTTCAGGACTACCGTTGATGAATACAGAACCCAATTAATGAGAGATAATGATTATATTTACCATGATATTATCGTGCAAAACGTTCAATTAGAAACTGTTAAATCAATGGATGCGATTAAGGTAGTATCTTGGGATAACCAGTTAGAACCATTCATGAAGGAGGTTGAAGAAAAGTGTGATGTTTTATTCAAGGGAATTGTTTCAATTGATGTTTATGAGAAGGAAAGTATATATTCAGAAGCAAAGGCTAATATTCTGAGGAGAGAAAATGAAGCTGCAGAAATGGCAGACTTATCATATACCTCATTCATAGAATTTACTAACTTGCCAAGTCTTTTGAACGATTTATCTAATAGTTACAAATCGGGATCTTTCCATAATAGAGATGAATCACAAGCTAACCTTATGAGACCGCAAATTGAGTCATGGGCCCAATTGGTTAAAAATAGTCCATATAAAAACATTGAGGAACAAATGAGTATTATTCTAAACAAGAGAAATGGGATTTTACAGCAATTACAGCATCTGCCAGAGTCTGAGAGGGAAAATGCGGTTAAATTAAAGAGCTCATTAATCGAAGCATCACAATCGGATGAGAAGATATTTGGTTTGATTAAACCATACGCAGAGGATATTGCCATCCTTTTAAATACAGACAAACTGTGGGCAGTATTCAATGGTTTTAATCAAAATACTGATACTACCGAGAGTTTGTTAGACATTGATGATACTGAGAATGAAAAGGTCATTCAAAAAATCAAGTATCTACAAGAATTGGCGGAGAAATTAAGATTATTAAAAGAGGAAAGAGGAAGAAACTTGGATGAATTAAAACAAAACATTAACGAGGATGATATTACTAGTCTAATTATTAAGAACAACAGTTTAAGTGAAAGCGAACTTAAGCGTCTATTTGATGCCGAATTAGAAAAGTTTGATCCTTTGAGCACCAGGATTGAGGCCACTATATTTAAACAATCATCGATTATTAATGAAATTAAGATTGAACTCGATAATATATTTAAGTTATCAGGTTTTCATGACAAAACCAGTAAAGAAAAGGAAATATCTGAAAAGAGAGGAAAATTTTTTGAAAGATTGAGAGACGCAATGTCGAATTTTTCTATCTTTACGACATCTATATCCAAAGGTCTTCAATTTTATGAATCATTACAGAAAATGGTTTCCCATTTACAAAACATTTCAAAATCCAGCACTAAACAAAATGTGTTTTCCTCGCCAACAATTGATTCACCACCACCATTGCAACCCAGACCTAGTGAATTAGTTAGTGGCATGAGAGACTTGAATATATCATCAAATGCAAATGCTCAACCAATGACAGTTCCTATTACTGCTCAAGCTCCAGTTTCGATGTCTATCCCAGTCCCTGCTCCAGCTTCGTCATATTCAAATGCACCTCCACCATACAACGTAACTAATCAGCATTCATCCTTGTCCCAAAGACCTGCTCCACAGATTCCAGTAAGTACTGCATCTCCAGCCGTACCATCAGGCTTAAATCAACCACCATTACCACCAAAGAATCCCGTTGCTGAAGTATCACCGGGAGTGATAATTGATGGCCAGGAAAGGAATGTCAGACAGAATCCAACTGCATTTTACAACAATCCATCTGTGTTTGATGAAAATATGTATTCTAAATTCAGTCGCTAGAATGGTTAGTAACTTTGGTTCGGAGTTGTTAATACGTCATGTTGGTATACATTATGTACTCAATAACAAGATTATAAATATATATATATGTATATATTGGTATATGAGAAATGAATATTTTGTATAGAATTCGAAATTGATTGATAAATCTCTAGTCTATATTTAACATTTTGCATTGAATGTGTATAGTTCCTATTGTCGGAAGTGTTATTGGTGAGCCAAAACGTAAAATAAAATAACACAAATAATATAAAAAATACAAAAAGAATAGCCAATTAAACAGAACAAACCAATTTAGAAATATATAATGCAACCACCAGTCAATTGAGAACAAATGACACTACTGTGATCTGTTCAATCATCAAACAATGTCTGCCTTGGCTTCCCTGCTGTCGTTAACTATGGTCACCTTCCATTGTTCTTAAATTTGACCTTTCCAAGCGATATTGAAAAAAAGTAAAGGCTTTTGATAAATTATCAAATGAAGAAACATAACCGAAACCAAATCGATTTAAAACATTGTTTATAAAGTATATATGTTCATCTATTGCTATTCAAGTGGTCAGATCTCCAATCAGTGATACTTCATTTGTCCATCTTTGGGTAGAAACCTGTTTTATTTCGGAAGTATATTCGTGGCTCAATAAATTTTGATTAGAGATGAGATCTGTAATTAAGGCCCTGTCCTTAGCTGCTGTTTTATTACCCTTTGTAACTGCTGTCACTACTACTAGTAGGGGTTCTGGTTCAGATGTGGAAGATGGTTCAAAGCCTTTACAATCCTTTATGATGGCAGTTTCAATGATTGGTATTTCAGAAATTGGTGATAAGACATTTTTGATTGCTGCTTTAATGGCCATGCGTCATCCAAGATGGTTAGTATTTTCATCTGCTGCCTCTTCGTTAGCTATCATGACTATATTATCTGGTATTGCTGGTCATACTTTTATTTCTTTGATCCCTGAAAGACTTACACATGTCTTAGCAGGTCTATTATTTTTGGTATTTGGTTACAAATTGATTCAAGAAGGTTTAGCTATGTCAAAAGACGCAGGTGTCGAAGAAGAATTAGCTGAAGTGGAAGAAGAATTGGCAGCCACCGACATGAACCAAGAATTAGATGACTTAGAAACAGCAGGTGCCCCAAATTCTAAAAATATTCATAAGAAAAATTCGGTGACTACAATTTCTGAAAGATTAACAAATTTGGCATCATTAGTATTCTCACCAATTTGGGTTCAAATCTTTGTTATGAACTTTTTGGCTGAATTTGGTGATCGTTCTCAAATTACTATCATAGCGATGGCTTCTGACACCAATTATTGGTACGTTATTTTTGGTGCTGTTGTAGGCCATTTATTATGTACCGGATTTGCTGTCATTGGTGGTAAAATATTAGCTACAAAGATTAGTATGAGAACTGTGACATTAGGTGGTGCTATCTCCTTCTTTGTATTTGGTTTCTTATACTTCCTAGAAGCTTACAAAATGTCCGAAGAATACTAATTTTGAAAAATTAGTATTAACTTTCAATATTTATCTTATTATGTTATCCCCACTACTGTTATGAACTCCTTTTTCAAATAGAGGACCAAAAAAAAACTATAATAAAACATTGACGATCTATACATATATGGTTAATTGAAACGAATCCCACAAGTCTATGATCGTTTCGTATTTATTTAACTGGATTATCGAACTTTTAATGTAACATGGGTTTATAGATATTTAATTTTATAGAAAATTTATATTGACATGTATTATTGTCGAAATCCAGCATAATGTTTCAAATTCCTAAATCATTATTTAATACATTAATTATCGGTATATACATATATAATATTACAAAAAGGGATTTTCCCCTTTAATCCGCTACTGAAGGATTGCTATTTTTAATGCGATTAGTTGTTGCCATTGTCATCAATAGATTCTTGTATCACCCTCCTTCTTAAGATTCGTTGCAATGCTGAATCAGTTTTCCCCTGAAGGAAATCTAAATCATCCTTCAATTTCAAGTTTAGATCCATTATTCCTTCAGGTACAGCATTTTGAAGTTCCTCTTGACTAGTATCACCGCCACATTCTAAAGATTCTTCATCATCTCTCTCTACTTGTCCCGTTTTCACAATTGTCTCTTCATCATTATTGTCATTATGTTTAGCTTGCTCTTCATCAGGTATCTCATTCTTTAGCCCTCGCAGTTTAGCTTCTGTATTTTCCTTATCTAACAGAATATTGTCAGACCTAAGTTTCTTTGAACCCTCGAGTTCTGAACCCACTTCATCACCATCAGCACTGCCACGTCGTTTATTCTTTAATTCCTCTAATCTATTGCGACGTTTTTCAATGGCATTTCTAACTGAATTATCCATATTAACCTTAATCGTATATTCACTTCAACTCGAAATTATAAAACCAACAGTACCCAAATCTTGGCATTCCAAACATTAACAACTGGTTCAAACAAACTTATATCAAAATTAACCAAAATAGTACCTGTCAGGTAAGATGTGAGATGAGCTCATCGGTCTCTCTCTTCCTTGATTGAAGCTTCATCTTGATGAATATTTCATTCTTGTTCATATGATTAGAATCAATTTGACACTTTTCCAAGTGACTTTACAACCTGTACACCTAGAATGACACCCGTACATTATCCAAAAATCATATCATTTCAGAAATATCATGTGACCTACAAATTTCAGAAAAAGTTTTCATCTCGGCGTAATTTTTAAGAAAAGGTAAGAATCAAATCCGATGGTAAGAAGCGAGAGAGCTTTGGATCATCAAACAAAAAATGAAGATTAGTGAACAAATTTGTAAAATTGTTCAATTGCAATTGAAACTTTTCGTCCCAATCTATATTTTATTTTTAATGAAACTCATATAAAAAAGAACTATATCAATACCATCGTTTGATTAGCAATTGTATACCTTTTATTAATCAATTTTGAAGTAAAACTAAGGATCAACAATCTAGAATTTGTCACACTAATTAACAATGCCAAGTATGTTATAATTATTAATTTTTCAAAGTATATATATATAAATTGGTATATTTATTATCAAATCAAATTGGAAATTCTCATTACGATTATCTCCAATGAGGTTCGGGTCCTCCTTTTCATTCTTCATTAAAGAGCAACTTCATTTCAAATTATTTATGATATTGTTGAAATTACTATATGCATTTGCACTGAACTCCCGACACTACAGGTAAATGTTGTAATTTCACTTTCTCTAGTTTATTAAATATGAGCTAGAGACGTATCATGTTGAAAATTTTTGATATATACCTATTGAATGGAATGTACAATTCTGATCTAACTTATTTATAAGTGATAAGTGTTGCACGTCCCTTTTAAATTTCAATAGTACGAAGTTGACCTATCTCTTAAAGTTGAATGTCTGTTTTGGACCTTTGTAACCTCTTGATATCAATTAGCCAAATAGTGTAATTTAATGCATTTGACTAACATAAATTAATCATCACACTTTTATAACAGGAGCCCCAAGAACTTACTCTAAGACTTACTCTACCCCAAAGAGACCATACGAATCTTCTCGTTTGGACGCTGAATTGAAATTGGCTGGTGAATTCGGTTTGAAGAACAAGAGAGAAATCTACAGAATTTCTTTCCAATTGTCTAAGATTCGTCGTGCTGCCAGAGACTTATTGACCAGAGACGAAAAAGACCCAAAGAGATTATTCGAAGGTAATGCTTTGATCAGAAGATTGACCAGAGTCGGTGTCTTATCTGAAGACAAGAGAAAATTAGATTATGTCTTGGCTTTGAAGGTTGAAGATTTCTTGGAAAGAAGATTGCAAACCCAAGTCTACAAGTTGGGTTTGGCCAAGTCTGTCCACCACGCTAGAGTCTTGATTTCCCAAAGACACATTGCTGTTGGTAAGCAAATCGTCACCATCCCATCTTTCATGGTCAGATTAGACTCTGAAAAGCACATTGACTTTGCTACTACTTCTCCATTCGGTGGTGCTAGACCAGGTAGAGTTGCCAGAAAGAACACCGGTAAGGGTTCTGAAGGTGCTGAAGAAGCCGCTGAAGACGAAGAATAAATATAGTCAATATATCAATTACTATATCAATTCAATCCAATTCAACCCATTAAAAAGCATTTTGTAATCATATAAAGTTTCATGTATACTAAAAAATTTGTAAAAAAATTATAAAATTTACGTATTATTAATTTTATATGGTATTATTCAATTGAAGATCAGAAGCTTGACTCACACTCCAACTTCATTCACTTGAACCATCATCCCATTGTAACATTACCTACAAGATCAATGCGAGACGTTTCGTAGAATATACAACATATTTCATAGTTAAAAGGGCAAGTGACTGTACACCCATACATTATCAATCAATTACAACCCGTACATCATCGTAGTTTTGATATTTGGAAGGGAACTTGTCCTCATGTGCGCTTCTCTTGTAAAAACAAAAAAATTGACCAGTCCGTCAAGAAACTATCTGTTTGGCTAAGATTAGATATTTATTTTTGCGTCATCGCGTCTGACAAATTCGATGTTTTCTTGTGAGTTTCTTAACGGTTCCTAGTAGGGAGGACACAAACCAGACTGATTTCTATTCATTCACATCGGTAGGAATCCTGATATATCCCATTTACAACTAGTGGGTGAAGCTACCATCACCACCAGAACTCTTCTAATTGTCTAGCGACTACTTTCTTATATTCTTCTCTACAGGAAGCGATTCTTCTCTAACGCTAGCACCATCCCCCCACTAGCCAGCACCATCGTTCCAGAAGGACTCCTTCTAGCACTTAGACAGGAAATGTTTTTGGAAAAAGTTTCAACTCTGAAATTTTCGGTTTAATTTTTCACTTTGTAGGTAGCATAGCAAAATAGTGAAAGTTTCACCATATACTACCATACTGAATAGTAATAGTTGTAGAGTTGATGAGATAGAGAGTAGAGGTAATTGGAGGTTATTGTTGATGTTTTAGATAGTTTCGATGAAGGTTCTGTAGCTAATGTAGTAGTTCCATTCATTGATTGAATGTTTGATATTGTAGTAATTGATGATTGATTGAGCTGCCGGCTACAGTAAATTCATATCGTTGTCATCACCTTCACCATCATTGATAGTAAGAAGTGTAATACCTAGCTATTAAAAAAGTTGGTCGTCTAGAAGACATAGTTCTGACATTTTACTCTTTTTAAAAAGACCAGACACAAGTACAACAATCAAAAATGGGTAAATCGTATGTGTGAGATATAGATAAATTTAAAAGATGTGGAATCATGAACCATCAGCAGAAGACTATTAGAAACATGAGGAATTGAAGCAAAAGGAATGTAATATGCTTTTGATAGGAATGCATTAATCGTGTTAATGGAAATTAAAAATTAAAAATATAAATTAGCCTTGTTCTAGTGAGAATTGATCGATATTATAAGATGATAAGTTATAGCCAAATTTGATTTCGAACAGTTAGGTACATTATAACTATATTATTGAGATTAATGATATACTTCTTTTTGGAATACAATCGAATGAGAAACCAGAGATTCGTATCTTTTATGGATGCAGCTTAAATGTTCAAACTACATATTATTTAAACATGATGATTAAGAGTTACAGACAGATTCCTTTGCTGACAGGACCTTTTGATTCTCTGTAGTAATATGATTACAGTTTTTTGCTAGATGCGATGAGACACAACAAGTCTTTACAATAAGTTTACTATTTTATATAGAAATGAAGCAATTTTACTAACAAATTATTATGTTAATTACTCGTAAATTAACTGAATTTAATCTTTAATACAGTCACGGTTACAGATCTCGTACTCGTTACATGTTCCAACGTGACTTCAGAAAGCATGGTGCTATCGCCTTGTCTACTTACATGAAGGTCTACAAGGTTGGTGACATTGTCGACATCAAGGCTAATGGTTCTATCCAAAAGGGTATGCCACACAAGTTCTACCAAGGTAAGACTGGTGTCGTCTACAACGTCACCAAATCTTCCGTTGGTGTCATTGTCAACAAGATGGTCGGTAACAGATACCTTGAAAAGAGATTGAACTTGAGAGTTGAACACATCAAGCACTCTAAGTGTAGACAAGAATTCTTGGAAAGAGTCAAGTCTAACGCTGCTAAGAAGGCTGAAGCTAAGGCTCAAGGTGTTGCTGTCCAATTGAAGAGACAACCAGCTCAACCAAGAGAAGCTCGTGTTGTTTCCACCGAAGGTAACGTCCCACAAACTTTGGCTCCAGTTCCATACGAAACTTTCATCTAATCTATTTCATTTCATTTCAATTTTATGTTGTGGATAAGAAGATGGTGTTTTTTTTATATGGTCTCTCGGGAGTTTTACTCTAATATTTGTGTTTAACATTATATATAATCGTGTGTCTAATAAATAAACATCTAGGCATCTGTATTAGTTTAAACGAATAATTCATTATTAAGTACCTAAATATACATATATACTTCTCCAGCTGCTGATCAGGAACAATCATATATGCTTTCCCTTCCATGGTCAACTGACCAAACCTGAAATTATCACCTCTGGCCAGCGTCATCGCAGTTAAGCAGCAGTGAAAAAAAAATTGTGATAAAAGTTGAAATATTTCAGTATTGACATAAGAACTGATTAAAGGTTTAGAGTTAGTCCTTGAAGGTGTTTACAGGTCAAGAAGACCAGACTAATTGGGATACAGTTAATCTTTGGATAGTGGAGAGGTTCTTTTAGTGGTGTTTTAGGTTGCCTTTCGTTGATTCAATTCATTTTCTTAGGATTTTACGCTGAAGAAAAAAGCAGTGCAATTCATATAAAGTTAAACAGTTATCAATACTTATACAACATCCAGGAACGTAACGTCATTAACAGATTAGTGACGGGTAGATCTCAATCTTTTATTTTTATTTCATTTCATTTTAATTTGGTGGGATTGAAAGCCTATAAAACGTTATTCTTCATATAGTCCAATGCCTAAGAAATCACTCGAAGATCTAGGTGAGTCTGCAATTGAATCAGTACCCTACTTGGCTAGTGATGAGAAGGGTTCTAATTATAGAGAAGCCAGTCCATTGGAGGCAGATAATGGGAAAGGTAAGATCGAGAAGCATACTGTGAAGCCATGGGTTCATTTTGTTGCTGGTGGTATCGGTGGTATGGCTGGGGCTGTTGTCACTTGTCCATTCGATTTGGTTAAAACAAGACTACAAAGTGATGTATATCGTTCAGTTTATAAGTCAAATGTTACTACCACTGCAACGACTAATGGATTAAAAGTATTGCAATTGACTAAAAATGCTGCTGTTCATTTTAAGGAAACTTTTGGAATCATTGGCAATGTCTACAGACAAGAAGGTTTCAGAAGTTTATTTAAAGGTCTAGGTCCAAATTTGGTAGGTGTGATTCCCGCTAGAAGTATCAATTTCTTCACTTATGGTACAACAAAGGATATATATTCTAGGGTATTCAACAACAACCAGGAAGCGCCTTGGATCCATTTAATGGCAGCTGCCACTGCAGGGTGGGCAACGGCTACTGCAACAAACCCAATTTGGTTGATTAAAACTAGGTTACAATTAGATAAAGCGGGAACTACTAGAAAATATAAAAACTCCTATGACTGTCTGAAAAGTGTCGTCCGCAATGAAGGTGTCACTGCATTATACAAAGGTCTAAGCGCCTCTTACTTGGGTTCTATCGAAGGTATACTTCAATGGCTGTTGTACGAACAGATGAAGCATATGATTCATATGAGGTCAGTGGAAAGATTTGGTAATTTGAATGAAGGCCAGAAATCTACTCAAGACAAGATCAAAGAATGGTGCCAAAGATCTGGTAGTGCCGGTTTAGCCAAATTCGTGGCCAGTATATTAACTTACCCACATGAAGTCGTCAGAACTCGTTTAAGACAGACACCTACAGAGAATGGTAAATTGAAATATTCTGGGCTAATTCAAACATTCAGAGTTATCTTGAAGGAGGAAGGGTTTGCATCCATGTACAGTGGTTTAACCCCACATCTAATGAGAACCGTTCCAAATAGTATAATTATGTTTGGTACTTGGGAATTAGTGATTAAGTTACTGTCATAAGTCTAGTACCCAAAAATAAAGAAATGAAATAGTCTCTCGATGTTACGAATTAACTAAACGAAATAGCAAGGAAAGAATTAATTAAGATGCACAACATTTTGTTATTTTTTTCTATGAAACTCCTAAAAATATATATGTAATGATATACACTAGTTAAACTTGTAAATATGCATTAATGAACGATAAATATCAGTTGATGTTAGACCATAATAACATCTTCTTCATTTTTAGTTGATGAATTTTCTTCCTTTTTTTTAAACCCTTCACCTTTATAAGTAAAACCAAGTATCGAATTGATATCGAACGGTTGCTTTGGTTTAAAATAGTTAGTTGGTCTTACAGGAACATTATTCTCATCAATGTTGTAATACAAATTTTTAAAATCATACTTTTCAAGTTCTCCAACTAACTTAGTTAATGCCCATTTGGTTGCCTCTCTATCCTCCTTTATCGAATCTTCAACTTGTTGCTCTGACAAAATATTCAAATCTAATCCAGAGACATCTTTAGAAAATGCAAGCCAGTCATCTACTTCTGGTATATTTTTTTTCCTAAGTAATGTAGTCAATAAACCTTCATGAGAAGTTGTTGGGAAGCTTGGCAATGGATAAACCACTGTGGAATCTAAAGTATCTTGGAAATGCTGAAGCGTTGAAGTAACTGACATCAACTGAGACAAAGTCACATTCAACTGGGATTGCAAAGTATACCACTGGGGAACCGTGGCCCTGGCCAATTCATCTCTTATCCTCTTTAATGAATGTGTTAACTGTGCAAGACGCATTCTAACTGCATCTAAAGCTTGAGCGGGCACCCCATTAAAGTTTGGCTTTATCTCATCTTGTAAGGAAACTCCTGAGGAAACATTTTCTATACCATCATCTGCATGAGACATCACTGATTGCTATATTTTATCACTAATCTGACCCTTTACGTTGCCTTTAACCTCTGCAAACATCAATAAAACTTCATTATCATTCCTTTTAAAGTATGGCTATCTGTTTAAAATATTTCATATTTGATATCGCTTTACATATTAAGAGTTAAGTATGAAAAAATGGCGTATTGGCAATAACCATTGACCAACATAGATGGGATGGGATGAACTTGTTAACAGACAATGGTTTCTATGTTCACCTGGTTGCTCTTGTCATCTTCGATTGGAGTAGCAGTTATTAGTATATATATATAAAGCTTATTTCATTGGTAATATATATGTATATGAAGTATTTAATATTAACTTAAAATAATTGATGTAAATTGGAATATCAAAAAAATGTACTTGGAGTTGAGGATTATTCTTGTTGTGGTGTCGTTTTTCATTGACAAACAAAAAAAATAAGGGCTATCTTGATTTGGAATTCATGCTTAATTCAACAAGGAATTGAACGGGGATCAAAGAATACCATTTATTTATTTAGCCTTAGCAAATAGTTGTTCAACTTCAGTTAAAGATTGTTGCAATACTTTGTCTTGGAACTTTGGATTAGCTAATTCAGCTTGGACTTTAGCGATAACAGATTCAGCGATTTGTCTTTGTTGTAATTTACGAATGGAAGCTTCGTATCTAACCCAAGAATCCAATACAGACTTAGCTTCAGTGGCTAAATCGACTTTTTGTTGCAATTCAAAAGCTTTGGCTTCTAATTCGACAGTTTCCTTTGAAACGTCGAATAGGACTTTTGTAGTTTCAGTGACGTTCTTCAATTCAGAAACGGATTCGATTCTTTCCTTAACGGCATCTACATGTTTAGTTCTAGAGGTATTTAAAATTTCAGAAACTTTCTTAACTCTTGAATCAGCAAAATCTTTATAAGCTGGTGCCAATAATTTGGCAATTAAAGTGGTGAAACCTAAGAAAGTACAAACTAAAATGGTTTCATCGTTGACAACATATAATTCGTTAGAGATGGCATAGACAGCAGCGGCAGCTGATGTAGCCAAAATACCAGTCTTCGACAGAATACTGTTACCAGGTAAAGCATTGATTATAGAAGTAGCTTTATCCTTTGGTTCTTGAGGAGCAGGTGTAGAATAGAAACGAGCACCAATTGCAGCTTGACGAGCACCTACAGCTAGCATAGGTCTAACAGAAGACTTCAAGGCCACAGAACGAAGACTCAACATTTGTATTTATATGAATCGATTGGAATTAACTTGTCAAACCTCTCTATTAAAAATCACCAAAATAAAAAAAAAAAAATTTATCAAAAACTTTTCTTTCTTCTATATCTTTGTTTTCTCTAATTCAAACTAGGAAAGGTAACCAAATATCTTGATATAGCAATTGAGCTGGGAAATAATGTTTCGAAACCAACAGTTACACAGATGGATCTTGTAAATTATCCAATCTTTAATCAAAAGTTCCTTGTTTCTTTAAGCAAAATATCATCCAAATCTCGTTTTCTTCTAAAACTTTAGCTGAAAATGACCCCCGAGCCATTTCAAATTGATTGGCCTGAGGTCACGTGGGATATTATGGACAAGTCATGTGATCATAGTGTCAGTTGGTTTGCGGGTGGTTCATTTGCAATTGATTATTATTAACATTATGATCTATGCACGTATATACCCATGTCTATATATCTATATCTATATCTGTATCTATTCCAGGTGGAGAATTTCCCTTTTTATTGTTTTCCTTTGCATTACAATATATAATTTATTCTAATTCTACAAGGTTATGAGCAGGTTTCCAAATTTGAATGGAGTTATCCTTCGACACACTACACATTAGCCATGGATCGTGCATATTCCAAGATATGTCGTTGACACCAAGCATGTGTCCACCATGTATAAACACAGGTTTGTCTGATCCAGCATCCCATAATTTCACCAGACCATCGTCTTGACCTGCCGATGCTAATACTGTAGATAAATTCGGATTCCATTCGATCGTAGATATAGAAGATCCGTGATCAAGAATGTTTATTGGCGTCTCTTTCTTTCTAATATCCCATAGACATATATTACCTATTGAATCACCGGATGCTAACAATAGACTATTTCTTGGATTAAATCTACAAGCATTGATACCACCTTTATGGACACTGGTAGATATGTCGATGATATTAGATTCATCTCTGGTATCGAATAGTGACAATCTATTGTCTTCACTACAAGCAGCAAATAACGAGTTGTGTTCTGGCATCCACACGGCATCGTTGCACCCAGATTCATCTAATTTGTAATTATATTCAGGAGCCTTTATCACTGGATCTGATCTTTTGTACTTAGTAATATCCCAAGCCTTTACATGACCGTCTGAATATGCAACGACCAGATGTCCTTCCTTCTGATGATTCCAATCTATAGTCAATGCCTCATTTTCGCCATTCAACGATTGCGAATTGTTATTGACAGCAAGCTTTGCTTGATAAGATTGCGTAAAGCCTGATTGTCGACTGTGCATTGCTGTCCCATGTTTTGTTCTATCAAATATATAAACGGACCCATCAGATGAAGCTGCTGCTATTAGGTCTGGATTTTGCGGCAAGTATCTTGCTCTATTACAATCACCATTTGGAAATCTAATTACCAATTCCGTAGTTAAATTCTTTGGAGGTAACTTTATATTACTATTATCTGGCTTAAACTCCATTTCATCCAAATCAAAGTTATTCAAAGATGCCCAACTTAGATGCTTCAGCGTAGAGATCCTTGTAATATATAAAGATTCATCTTCCGGTACTAATGATGAAGTGAAAGATGAAAGTAATATTCTATGACTATCATTCTTGGTATTAACATCTGGAAAAAATTGACATGTCAACGAGGGCCATTTATTGGAATTGGTATTTAAATATTCATACAACAGTTTTGTATTCTTCTTCCAAGTAGTATATCTATCTTGTCTCTCCTTGGGAATCGCAGATGACTGCTCAAACGGTTGTTCATCCATAATAACTTCAATCATCAGAAATAAAAAGGTTCAGCACTTTCAAAGACAGAATTGTTCAACGAAGACCAATTTTACAACTTCTATTCAATCTGAGTACACTGATTGAACCTCTAAACTGGCTTAAAACTTCTCTTTATCATATAATTCCTTATAATTCGGCTTAAATCAATTATATATCAAATTAAATAAAATTAATTCTTTACGCGTAGCGTGTCACACATTGAAATATATCACATACTAAAGGAATATATGATAGATGATGGGTTAAGTAATCACATAAGATTGTTATTTACAGGGTAAAGGGTATCATTAAACAAGACAATGGTCGACTGGCTATCAGATGATTCGGATTATTTCAACGTTTTACCAATTTTAATTGATTACATCAAGTCAAGTTCAATTAATTTCCTAATTTTATAATAAAGCATTAAAAACTATAATTCATTTAAGTACATAATTGCGTAAACATATAGAAATTATAAAACAATATTTTATCTTGTTATTTGAACTTCTTACATCCATTGTTTGAATTGGTTGATCAAAGCGTTGGTGGATGGGTCATGGTTAGCAACAGCAGAAGTGTCTTGCAATTCATTGACAATGACCTTGGCCAAAACCTTACCTAATTCAACACCCCATTGGTCGAATGAGTTGATGTTCCAGATAGCACCTTCAGTGAAGGTCAAGAATTCGTAGTAAGCAATCAAAGCACCTAAAGTAGCTGGAGTGATCTTTTGAGCCAAGATAGAAGTGGTTGGTCTGTTACCGGAGAAGACCTTGTGTGGGACCAAACCACCCTTAGCACCTTCAGCTTCAACCTTAGCAGCATCCTTACCGACTAATAAAGCTTCAGCTTGAGCAAAGTAGTTGGAAGCCAACATCTTTTGGTGCTTCTTGTCATCAATTGGGTTGTGAGATTGAGCGGCCATGATGAAATCAGTTGGAATTAACTTGGTACCTTGGTGAACCAATTGGAAGAAAGAGTGTTGAGCGTTAGTACATGGTTCACCGAATAAGATGGAACCAGTGGAGTAGTTAGCAAAGACGTTACCTCTGGTGACAGATTTACCGTTGGATTCCATGGACAATTGTTGCAAGTAAGCTGGGAATCTGTGTAAGTATTGATCGTATGGAGCAACCAAGTGAGTTTGAGCACCGTGGAAGTTGTTGTACCAGACAGATAACAAACCACCTAACAATGGGATGTTTTGTTCCAATGGAGTGTCAACAAAGTGTCTGTCGACAGCTTCAGCACCCTTTAAGAAATCATCAAAGTTGTCGTAACCAATGTATAGAGCAACGGACAAACCGATGGCAGACCAGACAGAGTAACGACCACCGACCCAACTTTCGAAACCGAACATGTTCTTGGTGTCAATACCAAACTTGGCAACTTCTTCTTTGTTGGTGGACAAAGCAGCGAAATGCTTAGCAATGTGAGCTGGGTTGTTACCGGTCTTGGACAAGAACCAGTTCTTAGCAGAAGTAGCGTTGGTGATGGTTTCAGCAGTGGTGAAGGTCTTAGAAGCAACCAAGAACAAGGTAGTTTCTGGGTTCAATGGCTTCAAAGTTTCAGCTAAATGAGTACCATCGATGTTGGAAACGAAGTGGACGTCCAAGACACCAGAGTAGTGTTTCAAAGCTTCAGTGACCATAACTGGACCTAAATCGGAACCACCGATACCGATGTTAACAACATCGGTGATCTTCTTACCAGTGTAACCGGTCCACTTACCAGAACGGACTTCTTCAGAGAATTCCTTCATGTGAGCCAAGACAGCATCAACTTCTGGAGCGACATTAACACCATCGACCTTCATAACTCTGTTAGCTCTGTTTCTCAAAGCAACATGGTAGACAGCTCTGTCTTCAGTGAAGTTGATGTGGTCACCAGCAAACATTTCATCTCTCAAACCAGCAACGTTAGCTTCCTTGGCCAATTCGATCAAAGCTTGCATAATTTCATCGTTAACCAAGTTCTTGGAGAAATCGAATAAGATTTTAGAACCATCGTAGTTGGTGAAAGTGTGACTGTACTTTTCGTAACGCTTAGCATCACTGTCGAATTCACTCTTGACGTTCAAGGTCTTACCTTGAGCATCGTATAATTTTTGCAATTTAGTCCAAGCTGGCAATTCAGAAGCCAATTTGAAGTTGGAAAAAGTGTTTTCAGAAGCCATTTTTGTTGATTGATAAGTTGTTAGTTAGGTTGTATAAACTACCACTCTCAAAGTGTTCTATCTAGAAATCCAAGCAAGAACTATAGCAAGAAATAAGACTACCTTAAAAAAAATATAGTAGAGAAAAGAATAATTGTAGGAAAAGGACAATTGATCTATACAATAAAACACAATGGTAGTTTGTAGACGTAAATATACTGAAATTCACTTTAACTTATATATAAAAATTAACAAGAGATAAATAACACCAACTTTTCAACTAACAATCATTTTCAAGGCATACATGTAAGGAGAACTAAAACTGTTTTACAACGAAAAAACTCTCAGGGGGTGGGAGGGATGTGTTATAACCCGTGAGGATATCAAACAACCAAATAAATAAATAAAATTGAACTCAATTCTTTTACTAGAATAATCCAAGATTTATTCAATTTGAATATTATCCATTGCTTGTAGAAAACTAACTAACCATCTGACAACTAATTCTTAAAGCAAAGAGAAGACGACAACTACGACGACGGCGAGGATAACAGCAACGATAACGACCACTGACTTGACAGGTAAAAAATACAAGAGACTTTGTCAATTGCTACACGAAATATAATCACTACTTGTATATGATATTAATAAACAATTAACACACCCTTGTATTCATTCAGTAGCAGAATATAGGTAGTTGGTCAAGGCCAATTCTTGCCAATTGTATAACATCAACTAAATAATTATGGTGTGGAAGAATAAACAAGTGCTTAAAATTCAATTAAGGTAGGCAAGAAGGCAGTAAGGTTAACTATACTATACTCGTAGTCGTTCGTTTCATTGATTAGAATTTCGAATTCGAAATCATTTTTTTAAAGTATCCAAATCCATGTGTGTATGTATGTATGTATGTATCTCATTGATCGTATGCATCAAGAAGAGAGTCGACTCGACTTGGCTTGGTTCGGATTGAATTGAAGTGAATTGAATCCAATTGGAAGAGAAAACGTAATACGCAGGAAGCATACTGGTGCATCGTATTTATCACAAGTCCTACGTAAAAGAAACCTTTTTAAATCGGTTTTCGAAACAAGATGTTGAGACAAAATAACGTAACATGAGAAGCATAAAACAATAGGTTTTGCTATTTGCATGACACTTCTAGTAGAAGCACACATCTCTTACCACTTTTTAATGCGAAGCAATATGTGTTAACATGTTATTTTTAAACCAAATGTAGGTAGTTTTAAAGGTATTATACCCTTGTTTTCTCTATACAGACCATTTTATCAAGCCATTATACAGCAAATTACATCAACAATTGCTGGTACCACTCCCTTTAGAATTACCATTACTGAATACAGTATAGCATAACTTAGAGAGAGGTATATTTTCGTAGTGTAGCAAGCGTAGGTAGGACTTTTGGGATTCTTTGCCTGTGCTCTGCCTAGCGTGCAGACAGAGCACAGGCTCGCTTCCTTGTAAGGGCTATCAGTCCAGAAGGGCACAGGGCACCAGAAAGTGTTTCCGGTAGGCAGACATGTAGGCAGAGAAGTTTGCGAAAGACCGCAAAATGAAGGCTGTTAGGGTTAATAATCAGCAAATAACAATATTTACCAGTTGGTTAAACCTAAGCTTTGTTTTACACACAAGAAGTTGTTGGGTAAGAAGTGTATGCTATATTCCCTATTGCACATGAACCAGTAGTGAAAGTATCCTGCTTGGGTCTTGCAATTGTTTTAATTATATTCTAATGCTTAAAAGAGAGATACAGAGATAATTTCTTTTCGACAGCGTTGAAGTGAAGTGTTGGTTCCAAAATGGGAAAAAAGGGAAACCAATAATAGTATTGATAATGGAACAATAGGCTAAAAATATCAACTCTTTTGCATTGCATACTGAAAGTTTGATTAAAAGTTACAATCCAAGCTGTGTATGAAAGTGATGAATCCTGGTTCTAATTGTCAGTTGATTCTTAGCAATTGAACCGAAAGAGCATGGGGAAATGTTGAAAATTGTATTCTGTGAGAGTGCATTCTAAACATTTATGGTAGGAGGTCTTGATTTGGGGCAAGGGGGGGGGGAGAGGTTTAAGAAATCTTGAATGAGTTATAAATTTGCTTTATGTATCTGTGTGTATCGTCCTGCCATCTAGGGGGGAAGGAAGGGGAAAAGGGATGGGGGAGGATTGATGGGTGAGTGAATGATAAGGAGCGTTCGTATGGAGCCCAATCTTAATCTCACCCGTGTACTCATCCCTTACAAATCTGAACTACACATGAATATTTTAGCTAGAAAGAAATATCAAGGTAGATAGATTGAAAAATAGATATGTAGTGTACTCCATGACATGCCGGTACCAAGTTCCAAATCTCATTGAGATAGGGATCCATATTAAAAATATGTTGTTTTAGAGAATCGAGAATCTTTCTTAGAGAGCCATCCCGTCCTTATAATATGGCAATTGTAAGAGATTGGTTTAAATTACAGACAAACGTTTGTTCATTATCGCCTTCAAAAACGTGGCTAGGTCCTAGGAAGCTAATTCTCAAACTTGATATAATTGAAAACAGCTCGTCAATACACAACGACAGTTTATATTGCAGTATTATATATCTATTTAACTAATTGATCGAATGATCTCTTGATATAGTGTCGCCAATAATACGAACAGGACTTTTATATGGTATCAGAGTTTCATAATTACCATTCCAATGATAAGTCACGTGCTGAGATTTTGTTCACATACAATATTATAACACCGCAACATACTTTTAAGCTAGTCGTATTAAACTACTTTCTTGTAGGTTAGTTCTTTCCAGCTTCCACTAGTTAGTAAGCTTCAAGTCCAACTTCCTGTATTTCAACCTCATAGTCGAGAAGAACATAAAATGACAATATTTTTCAATTGAAAACATGAAGGTTCAAAACACAATTCATACACCTTTTTAACAGCCTTTACTACACTTGTGAATGACGTATTGAATCCAATTGCGATATATTAGTGACACTAACTTTACCGCTAGATAAACTTCAAATATCGTAATGAATTGCCCAAATCTTGGATGTTAATGATGGAGAAAAAATCACCACATACTCGATACGATCCCAATCATGCCCTCAAATCTTTAATGATATTAACCATTTCCTGAATATATTTATCTTCTTCAAAAATACCCATTTCTTCATTATTTCCAGAACTATACTCACTAAACTTGTTATTGTTTCCAGAGTTAGTGTTAGTATGCGATACAACATTACCGCTAGCCAAATCTTCAGTTTTATCAGTAGCTGTTTTAGTTAGTTTGACACTATCTCTATCCTTTGTTCTGGTTCTGCTAATCAATTTACTTATTGTGTCCTTATATGTATTGATTGAACTCATCGGTGAAATCGCCATTTCTTCTACAGTACGATCGATATCTTTAGTTTGTTGAACATTAGCTTCCCGCCTTTGCTTTTCTTCAAGTTTTGTATTTCTTTCTCTCATGGTCTGTAGTAATTTTATATGAGATTCCCTTATTTTTTGTAACTGACCTTCTAATTGGGGTGAAAATCCATCGAAAAAATTGGTCTCTTCTGCTATTCTTTTAACATCATCAAGAGCATCGATTTCAGTCCATAGATTATCTTGTTCATCAACAGTTGGCTTTGTTTCTAGCCTTGTACCTGTATTTCGTCTAGAGTTCACATTACTTGCTTCAACTTTACTATTAATGGCTTCATCATTAGGCACTGTTCTCGCAGTCTTTCTCGGATGAGTATGGTCTGCCAAGGATTCATCTAGTTCTTTATAAAAATTTGAATTTGAATTTGTATTTGTATTTATATTAGAAACACTATCATCAATCGGCGATAAATGTGAAATAGAATCAAAATTCTCCATTTTTGTTCTAAAAATCAATATCCTATATTTTCTAAATGTAAAAGCTTGTTCTTAAAATAAAATCTTCTTCAGTATCCCTATAAAAAATGTTATATACTATAATAACCATAAATTAAGGAGATCTAGTCCACTAGAGATCAAAACTCATACTAAGCTTACCTTTATCGTGTTTCTAATGTTAATATTAATTGAGATGACCTTCATCTTAAATGTTGAAAAAAGATGTAAATATCCTTTTTGACAATACAAGTCACGTGGTGAATAGAAACAAATATACATTCCTAAAAATATATATAAATATATGCAAAATTATATTTGGTGTAGGTTAATAATACAAAGTCTCATTGAATTGGTAGACATCTATGGCATGAAGATTCAATTTATTAGGTTACGACGGACGTCATTTATTTTCTCTTTTATTTTTTCATAGTTCTGTGTAAGGTCCACCAGCGAAGACTAAATTACTCCTGGTGAATTTAACGTTAAAAATTGGTGTTTTCTTTGAGTAAAAACTGGCAACTAGATCGTTTGTTGGGATAATTGTATCTCTTGTGCCGTAGTCCTTTGTATCGTTAAATACAGCAGGTAATGTATTTCCAAAATATCCGACTATCGATTGACTAAAATCACTTTCTGTATCATTGTTTATTGAGCTTTCATTGTTACTTTTGTACATATCCCACACACGTACCGAGTTATCCGTACCGCCACTTATGATAACAGTACCCTCTTGACTAAAGACAATTGAATTGACAGCGTTTCTTCCGTGGCCACGCATTTGTTTCAATCTTTTACCTGATCCAATATCCCAAACGTTAATCAAACCATCTTCACTACCGGATGCAAGCCACCTACCATCAGGTGAAACACCTAATGAGACAACTGGTGCGGTATGACCAAGGAATAGACGAACAGTTTCACCGGTGGAAACATCCCACATTCTACAGGTTTTATCACTGGAACCGGTGAAGACGTAACAACCATTTGGATGGAATGTGACACAATCAACGTCACTTAAATGACCAGCAAATATTCTTAACGAATAAATATGATCACAAGACCACAAACGGGCAGTTTGATCATGAGAAGCAGTGGCAAAATAATGGCCCATTGGTGAAAATGCAACATCCCATACAGGATGATTATGACCTTTATAACTGACTAATGTACTTTGTGTATCCATTGCCCATAATCTGACGGTTTTATCCTCAGAACCAGATATCAATAATTTATTGTCTGGACTGAAACTAGTCGAATAAACTGCTCCGCTATGTCCAACCAATTTAGTATTAGTATTAACATGTTCTTGATGCTTCTTTTTGCTGTGTAAATTGTTATCTGCGGTATTCTTTTTAGTAAAATGGGTATTGTTAGTTGATGTTAAAGTGTCCAATGACGAACCATCTAATGACCAAATTTTTATATAACTATCTTGGAAACCAGCTGCTGCAAGTCTACAATCATCACTAAAATCTAATGATAACATTTCTCTGTTTGTATTGTGGAACGTATACATACATACACTTGGCAGTTCTGAACGTAGATTTGAAAGATCTACACACTCTCTAGTTTCTTTAACTTTTTGGATTTCCAGTTTCAAGTTTAATGCATTCTTTGGTGGCAGAGGTAGAGAATCAACCAGTGGAGGTTCTAAAATTGATTTATTTACTTTTGAGACTAGGCTATCATCATCAAATTTTTTTCCAGATTTTTTCTCATCGTCATTACTTTGTTTATCACTACTCACAGTTCCTTGTTTGAAATCACTAGATTTATCATTTGTAGCTATCAAATTTATCTTCCTGAATTGCTGTAGTAACGATTTCCTATTCTGGATATAGCTTTGGATTAAGGATGGATCTTTTGCCAGTTGCTGTTTCTCTTTTTCATCCATAATTCTTAGTTCAGTTTCTATTTCTTTTACGAATTCATCATCCTGTGGGAACTTGCCCAGCTTTACTGGAAGATTATTCATTTCCACATCCTTACTTATCTTACCTGTATCTGTCAGTAATTTTAAACCATCTGATAATCTATCCTTTGTGGTGACAGTTTCCACGATATTTGGTTCCAAATTTTGGTTTATAACGCTGATAACTAATGAACCGCCCGAACTTTCATGTTCATTTAAGAAGTAAAGTAATAGATTTAAAGTTGTCTTTGAGATGGTCACTCTGTATTTATTTGATTGGAATGCGTTAGCTAATTCGTTTTCCTTTATATGGTCAACTGAGTTGACACTAAACAATCTATTAATTTCTGTACCATGTAAGACTCTGAAATCTGTTGAATACTTATCGAAAAAAGCACGAGCATGGATAGGTGAAGTGCTAACTAATTTTAAGAAAATGTAAATGAAGATTGGATAAAGAACAAAATTTAACTCCGTTTTATACATTTCCAAAGATGAATCTACCCATTCTTTTAATAACTTGTATGCTCGTAGGTAACTTTCAGGAGAAGTTTTCATAATTGTTTGTTCATAAGCAATGATATTACCCTTTGCATCTCTCTTAGCAGGTGCATTAGTAGCTTTGGTAGCTTTTTCATTCGATGCTTGTTTATTACTTGCAGGGGCGGTAGTGGTGGTTGCAGTTGCAGCTTCTTTTGTTGCCTTATTGGTTGCTGGTTCAGCTTTCCCTGTTGTAGATTGTTTTTGTTGCTGTCCACTCGGGGTTCCTTCTTGTTTACTTTCATTTCTCAACATTGCCTCCGTTTGATGATAACCTTTTTTATTTAAATACTCCAGAACAATCCTGTTCAAATCTGACGCTGAGAAGGGACCATTTGGTTTAGCAGAACTAGAGGAAGCAGCAGATTGTTTCTGTACAGTACCAGATTGTTTCTGTACAGTACCAGATTGTTTCTGTGCAGCACCAGATCCATTACTGGTGGCAGCATTATTTTTACCAGACTTGGCAGCTGGTTTTGACGGTTGTTTTTGGTTATCTGCCATTGCTATTCAGAGAATGAGTGAAAAACACCAGAACTATCGCCAGCCAATTGGTCAAATCAGAGGTATATATAAAGATATATATATCGGTGGTGCCTGCCGTACCTTTAGAAGCCCTGTACTACGAGACAAGATGCTGTTATCCAAGTGGAAGTTGTCAATTTATAACTGTAAATGGTCAGAATAATTTCAAAAGTTTGATATGAAAACTGTTTTTCTATGTCATTTCTGAAAATTGACCAAAAACAGGTTCAAGTCACGTGCCGGTATATAATCATCGAATACGTACTCACGTGACAAACAATCACATGACCTAGATTGTTACAAGCAACCTATATAACCAGTAACAAGCTTGTTCTCAAGGCCTATAAGCAACTACTAACGAGATAAATAGACTTAACCTCTACAACTATTGTAATAGAGAACGTAATAATTTAAAGAATACAACCAAACATAACATCCTGGTCGATTCTTAACCTCCATAAACAGCACACCTCATCTCTAAGAACCCTCTTTCTTCACAGGGTTCGTCTTGTTCGTTCAAGGTCAAAATGCTTTGAAAAGAATCTCGTCGTAAGTTCTTTCTTTGTTGGTTGTTAGGTTTACTTCCCAATTGGATTCGATTAGATCGAACTGGGGGGAGGGCGATGGTGGATTCCTCTTCTTCTTCTGGTTGTCATCGCCATTATACTTGTTACTTTTGTAGAATTCGATTCGAATACAAGAAGTTCGATTCGAATACTGGAAGTTGGGACTCTTGTCATGTTAACGACCATCCAGATATTTGGATATGTAGAGCCAGAAACCCATTGCTTAACGTCATATTATGACTTTATTCTATGTGTTTTGTATATATTTATATTCATATATATAAATATACTATAGTTATAGTTATAGTTATGGTTGTACTTGCGGTGGTTATGGGGGAAGTTTTGGGCATCGTGCTGGTGGTAGTCTTGTTCTCGAATAATTTTGATATTAATAATTGAGAGTGCTACTGTAATGCTAACTCTCATATAATGAAGACTCGTCTTTTCTGCTCTAATTGTTGCCATAATCCTCCTAGTTTGCGGTACTAGTGTTGGGATTTTATATTTATGGGGTAATCTAATTATGCCTTCTTGCTGTGGATTTTAATAGTTTTTTTAGTAATCTCTAACACTTTCCTGTGTCTCCTATGTTGGATTCATTGGGTTTACCTCTTGTTATATTCATATCCGTATACTTTACTGCTAATGCCAGGCAAAGCACTTATATATATATATAAGTATCCTGGTAGATGCTTGAAACTTAATTACATTTTCAAGGTATTGTGTTGATTGGTGGGAGAATGAAATAGTTGATCAACTAACCTAACTTCTCTAAATGGTAGTTAATGTGATGCCAGAATGGAATTTAATGATAATTTAAAATTATTATTATTGCAGAAGGATCAGGTTTTAAGAGAAAATCCAACCAATGATGAAAATAATGCTGAACTTGATAACTTTTGCTCGGTTGTCGAGTTTATTCTCTCTCATTTCACAAACTATGATAAAGACATTTTAAAACGTTTAAGGTTGACTGATCTAACTATTGATACCAAAGGTAAAAATTATTTACAATTACATATAGTGAAAGCAAATGATAATAACGACGACGACAATAATACAACTACTACCACTGTGCCAATAGAAAATTTTCTACAAATTTCAAGATCTAATGACATAACCAAGTGTCCAATATTTGCTTTATCTTTATACTTCTTATTTAAATGGCATAACCCAAAGGATGGCAACATAACTTTAGACAACTATACTTCAATTCCAATTTTGTCTTCAAAGGATTTAGCAGCTATCCCAACTACTAACAAAATTCTAAATAAAGATGATACAACCTTTAAAACAGATTTAAAGTTAGGTTTAGAATTGAAAGATTACAGTGACATCCCAAAGGATTTGGTAAACGTAGTGTTCCCTTGGTTACCTTTCCTAAGGCAAAATTTGCTATTGGCAAATGCGATGGATTACTCTTTTTATTCGTTATTAGAGTTATTTGAGTTCTTGGGATCTGTCTTAATTCAAGGTTTACTGGTTTTGGTAAATGCCAACTCTCTTTGGTTAAGTATGTTACAATACATTAAAAATTTCATACCTCAATTATTCAGTAATGAAACTTTCAAGAATTTATTGAAGTCGTATACATATGAATTGAAAAATTATGATAATGGGACTGATCTAAATGAGAACGTATTTGATTATGACTTAGGTAAACTTGGATTAGTTTTAAAGAATAATAAAGAAAAATCTTTGAACGCAATGGCTTCTGAATTTAATACATTTTCTAATATGATTACTTTGGAAAATGAAAAGATCAATACAGAAATACAAGATTTATTTGCAAAAGTCAGGGATATGTCATCAAGATGTAAGGAAATTTTACAATTACAAAACCAAATATTAGATCAATCAGAGACTAAAGCGATCGACAGCAATGCCAAAGAATCCAAGATTGACCAAAATCAAAACTTGATCATTCACCTAGATGAAAAGCAGGCCTCACATATCTCTAAGGAAAGGATGAATTCAATCCCAATAAGAAAACTATCCAATTCTATGCATATTGATATACCTGGCGCTTCTCAAGGAGCTCCTATTGGAACTGAATTATCAAAGGATAGTCCTACTTTTACTCCTACGACAATGCTGCCCTCATTAAGTCAACAGATGTCGATGTTTTCCCCAGTTCAACAGGGCCAAAGTCATCAACAAAAGGATGTATCGCAATTGCTGAAGTTGCCATTGCCAATTTCCAACACACCTAGAAATTCTCTACCTTATTCTCCATCACCTAGAGATCTGGATTTGTTCAACCCACAGTTTCTTTTGAACGAGCATAGACAGTCGATATCTCAATCGCATACTGATAATAGATTAAAGCATCCATTAAGGCCACCAGTGGTTTCAAAACATGATAACCCTTATAGAGTTTCGAAATCACAAGTTCGTGTATCCAATAATTATGTTAATAAAAATGTCCCATAGGCAATGATATTAAATTTGAGCATATTCTTTCCTGTATATATAATTTAATAGTTTAAATATATCTTTATAAAACCAATTAATAAATTGTCCCTATATAATATTTGAAGTGATTGGTGTTAGAGTTATGGACTTATCATTTACGTTCTAATTTTTCATTTTAAATTAATTGGGTCATTGCTGAATCATCGTCTCTGATAAAAAAACGTTAAATATTTTCCATTTGAGTGATATGTGAGTTTTATAATGCTATTAGTTTCAATTGGTTCTTTAATTACCAGAAGGATAGCTAGTATTATAGGGAATCACAATCTCTAACTATCTTTTGTTGAACTGAACTTCTGTTTGAAATCTTACCAAATCAAGCTTGAAAACCTTTATCTGATAATATCCTATAAGATTTAAGGTAGTCAAAATTCCCATTAAAAGGCCTACAGACTATTAAAGAGACAAGTAAGCAAGGAACCATGGTTACACTGTCTGATAAGTTGAATGGAGTTTGGATCAACTTTGTTCATGTTTTCCAAAAGAACCCACTAAAAAGTTTGTCATATACAGTTGCCTCATCGATTTTAGTATATCTCATTACACCTTCTATATTTAATTTGGTATTTCGAAAATCAGTTTCTAATGAAAGAAGTGAAAGGAAGGACAAGTACACAACTGGCTTGGTGAATACAAGCACAGAATGTTATGCCAATTCATCTGTCCAAGTTCTGGCATCATTATCTAACTTTACCATATACTTGAACAAAGTTATCTCTATATTCGAACTTGAATTGAAGATTGAAAAGGTTGAAAAGGATGCCAAGGAAGCTTTTGACACCTACCTATACAAGGTCATCCCAGTTCATTACGCATTATGTCAATTGTTAGCAGATCTCCAAGAACTTATAGATAGACCTAGGGAGAGATCTGTTTCAAATTTCATTAGGATATTAGAGGCCAGTATCCACAAGAGAATTACTGGAGGGCAACAAGATGCTAACGAATTGACTCAAATAGTCCTCGAAGTACTACAGAATGAATTAGAGAGTTTAAAAAAATATGTCAATAGAATGGAACTTTCAATTGAAGTTCCTCGTTTCCCCTTTGAGGGGAAACTTGCAAGTTACCTGAGTTGTTTAAATTGTGGTCAAACTTCAATACCTAATATATCTACATTTAATATATTACCAATTCAAACCCCACAAGAATATTCAGCTGAACTAGAAGAAATCATATATGGGAATCAAATTGATCAAATTACCGATTACTCATGTCTAGTATGCCAAACGAATGCAATTTTAAAGAACGAAAAAACAAATGGACACAAAGGGAATACCACTGATGAGCATGAAATTGTTAAATATTTGGAAGATGTTCTACCTGTACTTAGGATAAATGAAGAGTTAGATTCCAAGACATTAAATTACATCAAATATTATAATAAATATGGAATGAAAAGTGGGAATATCAAGAGCACAATTATTAAAAAAAATTCAATAATTGAAACGCCCAAGATTTTAATGATTCATTTATCTAGATCAATTTATAATGGTATGGTTGCAGTTAGGAATTCATGTAGGGTTCGATTTGAAGAGAAAATGTCAATTGAAAGACAAACGACTGATGAAAAAAACGAGAATTTAAAAATTGAACTAGTTGATTACCAATTACAAAGCATAATAAAACACACAGGGACACATAATTCAGGACATTATCAATGTTACCGTAGGAAACCAAATCTAAAAAGAAATATTACCACCAAAGAAATAATCAACTTTTCACCAGTGATCTCACCAGTGATCTCATCGTCATCACTACAAAATTCAAAAAAGGATAACAGGAAATTGAAAAGCATCAATAAATACCCATTTTGGAAGATATCAGATACCAAAATAAACGAATCTACTCTGGATAACGTCACTGATAAACAAAAATCAGTATACATTTTATTTTACGAAATGATTACATAAATTGACAATGAAATGGAACCAAGATAAAAACCAATTTACAATTACACAAATCTAACAATATACCAGCAACAACAACTACAACAACCTCAGAAACCCAAACTACATTATCCAATCTAATAAATTCATTCATATACATTTAAATTGTGTCATTTATCTATGGTTTGGTTCACTGGATTCTTATTTTGTTCCAAACATTCTTTTCATATTTCTTTGACCTAATTAGGAATTTTACCGAAAAATTTGAAACTTGTCTGAATTAAAAAATTACATCAAAAAATATTTCAAGTGACATATGTTTTAAGAATAATAATGTGTTTCATTTTTAAGCAACAGTTGGGAATTCTAGTTTGGTTTACATTTGGACAACGGAGATATAATTGTGTTATATATCTGATTGTCTTTTTGAATTTTTTAGAAAGGACTTCGAACTGTTTAGAAAAGTGAAGTATTGGCTTAGTTCTCTCGATTGTATTTGTCAGATTTGAACGTTGATATTCGAAGTTTGAAATACGTATAATAGCAGAGAGGTTCAGAGGTCATAGAGGTTTACATTCGTTATTGGTTTATTATTTAATTGTAAATTATATTTTTTTTTATTGTTTATTGTAGAGGAGGAATAAATGCTCAAGAGTTTAAAGTTATCGAAAAGGGAAAGCAGAGGTCCTTCTAAAAGTCGTATCACTTCAGCTGATATCTCTGGACCTAGACAAGATCCAAATAGCAGTTCTTTGAAGAATGTGAATTCTACTAAGCCTTCCAGAGATTTCTCGTTTTCTTCGAAACGGTTGTCTGGAAGGAAAAGTCATAATTCCAATATATCATCTCCAGAAAAAGTGATCAAAGCCGCTCGTAGCTACAGTGCTAAAAGTGCAGAAGAATTGTCATTCGCTGAGGGAGAGTTCTTCTATGTCGAAAGTGAAGATAAAGAATGGTATAAGGCTTCAAACCCGACTTCTGGCAGGAAAGGTTTGGTGCCAAAGAGCTATTTCGAAACGTTTGATAGGACAAGACCTGTTTCTACAAATGGCAGTACTACCTCTAGTACCCGCCAACAATCAAATGAAAGCTCCAAAATGGGTTCATTATATGCTATTGTATTATACGATTTCCAGGCAGAGAAGTCAGATGAACTTACTGTATACGTGGGTGAAAATTTATTCATTTGCGCTCATCATAATTATGAATGGTTCATAGCCAAACCTATAGGCAGACTTGGTGGACCTGGCTTAGTTCCCGTCGATTTCGTTAGTATTATAGACATTTCTACAGGTTATGCGACAGGGAACGATGTTAAGGAAGACATAAAAAGTGTAAATCTACCAACCGTTCAAGAATGGAAAGATAACGTGACCAAATATAAAAACAGTAACATTACCTTGGGTACAATAGACTACGAGGGATTAGAACCTATACAGTACGTGGTACCAGCTATTGATTCACCTACATTCGATTCTGAATATATCACAAAGGCTTCAGTAACTGCTTTTGCATTAGAAAATGATAAATATTGGTTTGCTTTAACATGCGAATTATCAACAGGTGTCACAAGAAAGTTGAAGAGATATTACCAAGATTTCTACGATTTACAGGTCAAACTCCTGGATTCATTCCCTTCAGAATCAGGTAAATTAAGAGACAGTACGGGTCAATGGACAAGAAGAATCATTCCTTATATTCCAGGCCCTGTACCTTACGTTACAGATACAATTACTAAGAAGAGAAAAGAAGATCTAAATGTCTACGTAGGTGATCTAATAAATTTACCAGAATATATCTCAAGATCACCTTTAGTGAAGGGATTATTTGACATCAAAAAAAACGAATACGATTCTGAATATATAACTGGTTCTGCTGAACTACAGCAATCACAAATGAATGGTACCGATGCGAACACCAGCTTTGGCGATAGCACTCCAACAGCTGTAGCAGATATTACGAACAATGAGGATAATACTTTAACTGGAGAAGATCTAAGGTTATATGATAAGATGAATAATTTATCTTTGAACTCCAAACCAAAGACCAGACCTCCAAGTGGCCAACTTCCCCAATTGACAAAACCTACTAAGATAAAATTTTATTACAACGATGATATTTTTGCATTAATGTTAACTAATGATATTGGCTATCAAGGATTGCGTGACAAGATTGGGCCTAGAGTTGATGGTGAAAACTTTGAATTACAAGTTAAAACTCCATCAGGGGAAGTTGAAGTCATTAATTCTGATGGGCAAATATCGCATATAATTGAACAGAAGTTAAAGATTACTGTGATAGATGCTTAATCTATTACAATTTCTGGAAGTCAATCCAAACTGGAATAAAAAGTAGCTTGCAGGTTTCATATCCTAATTGCAACAATAATTTAATGTTGTTGATAACCTGTTCCTGGGAATATATGCTTAATTAACATCATACATTTCATAGAGTATATATGTTTTAAAATATGTAGTTAAGTATGTTGTATTATTAAATATTATTAGTTCTTAAAATTCTTTTTCTGGCTTTTAACCAAGTCAATATCTATAAAATTTTGTATGCAATTAAAGTGTAAACCTTTTACACCTTACCCATTTTAATCCATCGGAGTATCATTATCGTAGTCCATCATATAATTGTTGTAACCATCATCAATCATCATATCATCATCTTCCTCATTATAACCTGAGTTTATAGGTGCTATTCTTGATTTAACCCATTCAAACCATTTTTCATATAGTAGTTTCTTTGGATCAACCCATTTAATTAATTGCAAACGTTCATTTATTAACTGTTCATATATTTTTGAATAAAAATCATGGACACTATCAAATTTCGAATCTGTATCTAAAAAATTTGGAGCATGGATCTTGACATTAATTGGAACGTTTTCTGCAAGATTCACTTTAGATGAAGGTGTATCACCTATTCGTAGATTACTAAAATCTTCTATTAAACGTTGCTTCTTATAATTAGATATGCCAATATTATCTGGACTGTGTGGTCTCTTAGCCTTGAATATAGAAGAAATAGCCATCCTAATAATTCAACTACACAGATTCAAAACAAACATAAACGATAAACAACTTCCCAATATCCTTTACCAGTCTGATCTAAAACAATTAAATATCGATTCTATCACCTAAGTTTTCTTCTACTTCTCTGATTATGTATATATCTGAAAATAATCAAAATTTAGTCGAGCCAATGGGAACAACAAACAAACAATCAATGGATTATCGATTACAACTAATTAATCGATACCCATCCAACAGTTTTGGCCCTTTATACCCCTGTTTTTAACTAAACATCCATCAAAGATATATTGATTCTATAAATATGATCATTTTTCTAATTAAGGCTTTAAATATCTTAAAATTATCAGTATTTGAAACCAGTTGATATCAACTCCTATTCTAATAGAAAACCTGTTTGTAAGAGGGTAGAAGTAGGTATATCCCAGGTTATAAGTATCAAGATTGTGTATTTTGTATTTTATTGAAGGTTATTGACTGTTGTTTAGAAAAAGGACGAAGTTATTCGAGTAGATGGAAGTTAAATTATGATGAAGGATGGAATTAGTATGGATCAAGGCCTAAAAAGGGGATTTTTCACACCTCCAATTACCAATCCTAAGTTTGATTCTACCCAATCGATTAGTGAATCATATAAATCTACGGATCAGACGTTGGAAGTATCTTCTCAAACTTCTGATAGTTCTAATATAAATCCCGATTCATTAGTGACTCAGGAAGATGTTGAGAGAGAAATTAATTGTCTAAGGGAACTGCCATTAGAGTTATCAAAATTGATTGATTTATTTATTGCAGATTTAAAACAGCCAAAATATATCAAACCTTTGACTATTAATCAGTTATCATCTATATTTCAGGGATTTTACGTTAAATTTGATAAATCATGTTTCCAATATTTGAGTCAACTAAATGCTACTACTAATAGTAATTCGACGACAACCACTTTTTTGACTGCAAGGGAAACTCTAAGTAGTGGTTTAAGTGGGATATTTGCTAGAAGTAGGAGCAGTAGTGGCAGCTCCATTATGAGAGTAAGAAGATCATCTTCTTTGTTTAGTAATGACTCAGCTACTGTGACGCCAATGTTAACGCCAGATGAAATTAACAAGCAATTGAAAAATAATGAACTTATGAACCTAAAAATAGAGAAATACATGGAGTTTTGTGAAAGAGAAGTATTTAAACGTATTCTTGAAGTGGGAATTTCTGTTCCTACTCAAAATTTCGATGTTAACAAACATAAGAAATCACATAGCGATAAAGAAACCTTTAGGGTGACAAACTTATTCAGAAATAGTCCTGAATATGGAAAATATAATAAACTTCTAGATGAAAAATTCCAATGTTTGTTAAAGTTAGAGACCCAACAAGAAATTGACTTTAAAAAGTTTTTAGATGTTCCAGAAAGCTTCAAAGACGAAGATCTACCTGCAGCAAAAGAAATTTTAGAAGATCTAGTCTCCCATACGATTTCTCCCTGTGAAAAATCAAACTTGCTTTTAAAATTACATGAATCTATGATATACTCACAAAATATGTCAAATGATGAATTTTTGTCGTTGTTAATATATTACTTAATTAGAATCACACCACAGAATATTTTCCTCACAATACAATTCATTAGGTTATTCAGATACAAGAAAAAATTGGTCCAAAATGAACTATACGTTTTAACCAATATCGAAGCAGCGTTGGTCTTTATAGAAGATCTAACTTTATCTGACTTCCCTGAAGATATTCAAGGGAAATTAACAGATAATGAAATAAAGATTTTAGAACATAGCATTTCAAGCAAAGTAGACATCCCACAACTTTCTTCTATTTATAACAATCAAAATGACACTATTCATGAACACAACTTAGAGCTACCATTAGCTAATGAGGGAAATAATATTAGTTCTTATGATGGCATTAGATCTGTTTTTGATGCATCGTTAAGAAATATTATTGGCAAATTCAGACCAAGTTCCCCACCAACAGCTAATGTTTCAAGGGAATATAATTTGCCACCAGCGGTATCCAAGAAAGTTGACGATGAAAGTGGGAACTCAACTATTATATTAAAAACTCCACCACCACCAATTCCCTTTGATAATTCATGGAACAAGTATAAGGATTATAAATTTGAAGATCTAAAAATTAGTGAAATGAGAGAGATTTTTGAAATTTATCAAAAAATAGTAGAAGAAAGGGCAGTTTAATCAAAATGTCGTTATTAAATATAGGATAGATATTTAATCCGTTCCATATTTATAAAACGTCGATAATATATCATACATAGATATAATAATATTAAATGAATAAATTAAATTAATTTAACTCGATATATAAATATATTTATTATATTAACATTGTTTAAATTAACATGCAGGATAAATTATTATGAAGTGTATCTATGCGTAAGTATGTCGAAATAGTTTCTAAGATAACCATGGTATGTCTTCAATTGAATTATGACTTTTTAATGAATTTACTTCTTCTGATCCATGATTTTTCAACCGTCTCTTCTTTTGTTTAGATGGCCAAATCAATTTATTATTGTCTCTGACTCTTGTGAAAGGTTTGTCAATGGATTTATTAATCAGTTTCATACTTAATCTGTCTGAATAGTTTGAATCTATAATTGTATCTTTTATTGATGAAATATCAATATTATGCAGTTTTGCCGTATCCATAATAGATAACTGTTTTATGGGGTTCATATGTTTGGGAATTGGTGAACTATATATATTATTAGAAACGGATTTAGTGCTATTATTTTGCCTTTCCACTAGGTTATTAATTTGACTATTTATTCGTTCAAAGATTTCAACATCGCTAGGTAATCGTAATAATTCAAAATTTTTATAGCCAATAAATCTAGGACACGTTAAGTCCTTATAGTAATTTTCTTTATGAGTCGTAAACATATTCTGTAATAGCTTATTATTTTGAACCAATCCATCAAGAACAAATAGCTCTTTGTCCTTGGTGATATTAGAAACACATTTCGGTTTTTTAAAACTACAATATGAGGTTCCAACAATATCTGTATTAGCAACAGAGTTCTTCTCAGTTTTGTCTATTGTCTCTTTAGATGAATCCCCCAACTTGATTTCAGAGGGAATACTAGCTTTATTTTCGGATTCTACTTTAACATCTTCATCAATTTCTGCTTTATGGTCATCGCAACTTTTGGTCTTAGCTCTTTTCCTCAGCTGCATTAAAATTGGGAAACAAATATTGGGATTATATTCTCTATAAAGATATTTATCTGTAGATATATCCAATTATCTATTGATCTATATAAACTGTAAAAATCGTAATAAAGCTTATGAATCTTATACATTTATAGCAATTAATGTTTAAGCTCATCGCATATTTTCAATATTTTATAAAAATTTCTTTTTTCTACTTAGGATCAAGAAATCGTATTTTCTGCGGGTGTTTCTGGGTGATATCAAAAGAGACGTATTTAGAAACTATAATGGTACTAATTGATTATGATGGTTATACCTAATAGTCTCTTTTTATAGTATCTAGATATTTCTGGTCACTTCTTTCTAGGGTTTGAACACTCTGAATTAACATATAAATAAATTGGTTAAAGAGGGTCTTCAGAATCTAAAGGAACAAAACCGCACTTTATTATTCTCTCCTTTGGAATCCATATTCTGGGAGATCTGAAGTATTAAATGGAATGTGGGAAAAGAGTAGGAACACTTTGCAATTTTGTTTATTAAAAAACCTAATTTAATCTTTTTTTTCAAGGTAAAACTTGGCCTCCAAGTTATTTTTTAGGAAATCTTCAATTTTTTTTCTCCTTTAAAGGATTTTTTGGAAGGAAGAGTTCTGGTTTCGCCATTGTTTTGCATTTTTCTTATTACCAATAAATGGGAATCCTGGATTTTTACAAAACAAAAAGAGAAGACAGTGTTTGTTAAAATTGGTGGGGAATGCCATCCCGGGTTTTTCTATATGAAGATTTGGGGAATTCAATTTAACTTTTGTCGCCCAAACTGGTCAAAACCATTTACATAGTTGAATGAGAAATCGCTCTAATTTGTAATTGAGACCTG